ATTCTAAATGACTAATGCTTAACTCTTTCTCCACATGAAACGCTAACTGATAACAAATGATAACCAACGATAACACCACATCGTCAACAGTCCTAACACACAGCTCTTTGGTGCTACTTACCTGGGCGAGGATTCTAACCGGCGGCGTGGTTCCCAGCAGCAGACTACACCGAATGCACTGCTCCAGCAGATAACACAGATCTCTCCGTCCGGACGATATGGGGCAAAACGCCCCACGTGCAGCATGGCCGAGGTACTGAGAGATTCTACTCAATCGCAAAGATAGCTGACCCAATTTTTAGTGTCCATGAGGTTTAAATTTCGATATTGTTTTTTGCGAAATTCCATTTTGAATGAATAAGAGTGTAGCAGTAAAAGAAAAATAGAACTATGTATTACGAGGTCATAAGCAATAATAATCTAAAGTTCGGCTAGTAAAATTAAGGGAACTCGATTTTTTTTGGAAGAAATCTAAAAGCCTATCCTAGTTGGCCGACTGTCCAACTTTCAATCTGTCAGCTTCAAAATCCCCAAGCGGCAGCGGCCCTACCTCAGTTTAAATTTATACATCCCAGCGGTCGTATAGCTCTTTCGACTTCCTGTATACAAAAATATATTTGTATTTTGTACACTTTTTTTTTTAACTGAAAAAATCATCAACTATTTTCCTCGCGATTTGTGCTGAATTTTTCGTGCGGCTTACTAATTTCCAGTGATTTAATTTATGGATGCCAAACGTGGTAATGCCTCCGGGGCACGCCAAGGCGGTGGTGGCTATCATGCCTCCAAGACGAGCGTTGCTGTAAGTTGGTCGACTAACACACAACTCGAGATGATGACTGAATAACTTGGTTTATAGTCACGCCATGCCGGTGGTGGAGTAGCAGCGGCAGTGGGTCGCAAGCAGGCCAGTCAGGCCAGCCTGACGCCCAGCCAGTCCAGGAACACCAATGCCAACGATAATGTAAGATGCTTCCCTCGTTCGGAATCATTAACCCAACACAAATAATGATAAATCACAGCCTCGCAAGAGTCCATTGGACGCCCTAAGCCGCAACGGCCCCGTACGCAATCAGAATCCCTTCCAGCGTCGCTCTGGCTTGCAGGATGTGGATGAGGCCTTTCTGGCTTCCAACGTTTTTGCCCGACCAGCCCGGGTTCGCCATTCTGGCCTTGACAGGGACAACATGCAGCAGGCCGCTGTAGGAGGAACACCTACGGGACAGCAGGCTGCGCCTCCCGTTCCCGCCCAGCAGCAGCAGCAACAGCAGTATCAACAGATACCTGCAGTGGATGCCGTACCCCAGCAGCAGATGCCTCCGCCGGCAGTGGTGCCCTCACAGCAGTACGTGCAACAACCGGCTGCTGGTCAGCCGACGCGCATGGATCCAGTGCCCTCGGGACGGGCTCATGTCCATCAACAGCAAGTGCCACATCAGCAGCAGATGCAGCATCAACAGCAAATGCCACCGCAAACGGGCTACGAGCAGCAGCAGCAGCAACAAGTGATCCAACCAGATGCACAAATGCAGAATAAATATGCAAACCAGCAGTCACATCAGGTGCAGCCGCAACACCAGTCCCCCCTGAATGGATATGTAAATATTACTAAGTTTATACGACAGTCTTCGAAGAGGTTAACCACACCCACCTGACCCACAGCCCTCGCAGCCGCCAAATGCTCCGCAGGCATCTATGCCAACCACCGGAGGAGCAGCAGCACCAGCAGCTCCAGGAGCAACTGGCGGCAGTAATGCGCCCAGGGAAAACGCTGGTGGCTCTGCGGCACCGGCGGATGCCGAGATGTGCACCACATGCCCCAACTGCCAGACCACGATATATTTAGTACGCTCCCCGGAACTTGGACATGGCGATGCCGGTTTACCTGTCCAGTAAATGATGAAATCTCGCCCGAGTGAAGTGCACCAAATTCTAAGTGCAAATCTCTGTTGTTTTATCACCCATTGTTTTGTTTTAATGTAACGACAATTTATGAAGGAAGCCCAACCTCAAAGAAGCTCCCTTTAAACTGTACCGTACTATAATTTTGGAACAAATGTGTAAATTGAACAATTCCAAATATAGAAATTGGAGAGTTGTAATATGGTCGGCTAAATAGAGTGGGTCAAATGGGTGTAACAACGTAATCGGGGGTTGATATTTTGGCTGCGTGCCAAGTGGTTGTTTTTTGGGCAACACAAAAGCTATTTCGCGTTTTGTATTAGTATTTGTATTAAGTTGTAGAGGTGGCAATTAATGGAGAAACTCATTGAATTGTATGGCCCACGAATAGGCTATTAATATAGGTTAATAGGCTGATCTTATCTCGAATTGTTTTCACCCCGAATATGACCTAACAAATTTCTCTATTTTCAGATAATTCATGCTGGCAACTCGAAGGGCGGAAAGGGCAATGGCAGTGCAGAAGCAAACAGGTAAAAGCTCAATCGCATAACTAAATAATAGCAATTTGCTGGCATTATCATTTTGTGTATGGTCTTCATTTGGGTTTCATTTTGTTCTTTTTCGTTTGTCTTTCAGAATCAAATAGACAAAGACAGTCCACAAATATTGCACACGGCTGCTTCACATACAAAAGAAATAGAAATCAAAACTAGATAAACTGATATTGTATCAACTTAATAACCATTGTACAAAGCTTTGATTTTAGCCAATTATTTATATTTTCGCCTAGTTAATTTAAACAACCGATGAATTTACTTAATGTACAAGTACAAACAGAAGAAGCTGCACTTGCCGCATGCCACCACCCACCATCCACCACCACCACCCACAACACAACAAAAGAAATAAATAAAATCTGAAGAGTACCAAGCCACTAAATCGGATCCGTTACACAAGACACACGAAAATACCTGACGAATTGTGATTAAACATATATAACTTATCATTTAACATTTAACTACATACTTGTTGGTCGTAACTTATTTCGTTTTTTTCTCGAGCAATAAAATCAATTATATTAATTCAGTGTTTCCCAGTGCTGTTATTATGTTGTAGTTCAATAAAGACTAGTTTTAACCGCTCTAAAAACTCTTTCAACAGTGGCAATGGTAACCACGATATTGCTGAGATCGCCGAGCAACTGCAGCGGCAAAGCCTGGCCGACTTGGAAGGCAGTAGCTATGAGCCGGAGCCAGAAGTTGAACCGGAGGCTGAGCCCGAGGCGGAACCCGAACCCGAACCGGAGGTGATTACGCCCCCATCACCGCCGCCAAAGAGCCACACTCCCACTCCACCATCCGTGCGATCTCCGGAGGTGGCCGAGAGCATTGTGGGCGACAACCGGAGACCTCCGGCTTTCCAGCTGAGCAAGCAGCACACGGGCATGAAGAATCGCTCGTTTGGCGTCGGTATGGCCGTGATGCCCAGCAGCAAGATGGAGTTCGATCAGATGGAGCGCGAAGATTTTGGGGTAGTGAAGATCAACCGTCCGCCCGGTCATGAAGTCACCTCGCCGGGCCAGGACAATACGGATGCCATGTCCACCGTGTCGTCAGGCGGCGGCGGCCTCACTGATCAGGGCTACTACGATCTAAAGTTCTATCACAATAAATTGTGGTAAAGATCACAAACGAGAAAGCACGCATTATTTGCTAACATCTTTTGTACGTGTGGCATAAGCATAATTAAACAAATTTAATCTAGTCTGTAAGATTGTATTGTCTAATCAAAATAACACACCAAACGGTTCCTGTACTTAAGTTCGATGATTTCGATTTCGTTGTGAGCTTCTCAGACTTTTTGTTGATTTCATTTGTTACAAGCCACTCACTCCGAAGAGCATCCGTATCCTAGAGCCTCACTCACAACTAAACGTTAACAATAGCAAATTTAAATGTACGTAGAGTAATTGCTGTCGGTACTGAGCTAGATAATTTACAACACATACTCGACTTTGGTTGAAAGGAGCCTTTATTAATAATTTCGCTTTGTACTGTGTATTCTGAAGACCCCCTTAATGTTATTCAGCCCATGTGTATCTTCCAATTACAGAAAACGCGAATATTTCGAACAAATCTATGGCGAGTACATGCTATAGGGATAGCGCCAGTTGGCCAGAAACCATCTTCATTACTATACTCAACATTTCTTAAAACATTGTCTAACATTTAGTTGATAGAACAAAACCCCCAAAATGCAAATAGATTAAAGATGAAGATATACAAATAAAGCATAAATTTTGTCGACTCTATTTGCCAAGTAAAAGGGCCTGGTTTTCCATTTTATCTGCAATACAATTATGTACGTTTACACACACACATGAAATGGAAATCTACGGGCTGATCTGTGCTGCTGAAATCTGTAAGGTAGAGCTATCGTTGGTGCTGCTTCTGCTTAAATATTGCTGGACGTGGACCCCTCCTTCTGCCTTTACATGTAGATAAAGTTGAATCTGCAGAGAGTAGCATAAGTAAGTGGGGAAATCTAGAAGCTCCGAAATGAGATACGAACTTACCTGCAGAGGGCCTGCGGCAGGGATGAGATAATGGGTCCATAACCTTGCGAGTTGTCGTATAGCTCGAACAATGGCGCAGCAACAAGCTTATAATTTTTGGGTACAGCAAATAGTGCTAGATTACGGAAAACGATAGAGACAGAATTCATGTATGTAGAGATATCAAAGAGCATTCAAATTCACAGGATATACTATCTAGGGATATTACAATCGGTTGTACAATTTACATATTAAGAATCATTTCGCAGCCGTAAGATATAAAGAGTCGTATGCGTTTTGTGTTACATTCATAGTTGGTTACGTTAGACTAATTAATTGGATTCGCTGCGACTTGCAAAGCGTGACTGGCACTTTGCTGGCCCAGCGATGTCACCTAATATCAGATATGAACATAATTTCAATTAGGAGCAACATTATACATGATATGTGCGGTTCGACTTGTGCGCTGAAATGCTTCAGCTAGTGGACATCAGTTCATTTCAGCGCACAGCGAATGCGTAAGCATTAGCAGGTACGAGCGAAAAAGGTATAAACAGTTTTTGCTTGTGTTTACATAAACGAGTGCTTAATTTAAGGAGCGACTTGCGACCTGACTGCCCTGCATGCGTGCAAATCTGCAAAACACGCGAGATTTGGGCACATGACTGCGACAGCCAGCAACGTTACAATGCTCTCTGCTGCCTGCCCTTAAGATGAACAACACATGACACTTCACAAAAGTAAGAATAGAAGCTAGGAAATAAATAAATATGTAAATAGAAGGATAACATTGCTGCGCTCAGTCTCACAAGTATGTCGACATATTTACAAAATTAAGTACAAGAACAATCTTTGAATTTCGAATGATCAAAATCGGGAAATAACAAAATATGCCAACACTCAGTCCTGAGCAAATATACAATTTGACTTTGATTTCAGACATGTTGTACAATTGGACTAGAATCAAAACTAACTAAGAAGTCGCCTGCGCCAGCTTTGCGATCTGTTTGTTTCTTTTCTGTTTGATCTTTTCTGTTTGCTCGATTGTTGTTCTATGGCATTGCACTCTTGAGAGTAGAGTTGGGTAGATACGACACACACGGTGCTAATGGAACTGCTCAGGGTACATCGTAACTGGCGTTCCCGTCCGTATCTAAACAGCATTGAAAAGATATGACATGAGGTTTGTTAGCGTATTCGGTTTTTGGCAAACAAAAACAATCTATAGGTTATATAAAGTACATGGAGAGATGGATATTCTGGATACACGGTGTGTTCGTTTTACCTACGCGTAGGGACTCACAAAACGCCCAGCGGATATTTACCCTTTTCATGTAGCTGGACGAGGAAAAGCCGCTTGTGCTCCTTGGGTTTGGTGATGTGCGGCGGAATGTATGGATATTGCGGTGGCTCAAAGTTCGGCCGCCACCAGTTCCCAATCGTGTCCTCGACAATCCACTCCTGTTTCACGCCGTCCTGACGACCCAGCGTCTAACAAGTAAGAAGTAAATAGGGATAGTTAAGACTCAATAACAATGCTCATCTAGGGCTCCATATTCAATTTACCTCGGATAGCAATCGCTTGAGGCCCTCGACCTCATCCTCGCCTGCGTTTAGCTCCCCACCGGGCAGTTTGAAGAACGTGGTGCCCAGCTGCAGAAGCAAAACATGTGGCAGTCCGTGCTCGTGGACAAGAAGCACTCCCTCGACGGACCGCCGCATTCCGATCCGGTCGAACTCCTCGCGCATACGCTGGAATCGGGATGGCACCGACGGATCCTTCTCAAAGAGCGGCTCCTTGGTGCCGAATGTGTAGTTCGTCAGAGGGTATCTAAAACAAACGATTCATCTACCAAGTGCATCTAATAATGAAATGCGATATACCCACAAGTTAATGGTGCGATTGATGGTCAGCGCCTGGTTGGTGTACTTCTGGGTACCGTTGTTATTGCTGCTAGCTGCATCCGCTTGGCCTTGACTTCCGCGGCGCGGCCAACCGGAGCCCGATTTGTTTGAGACTTGCGAGGACGCCATTTTGTTATACACACACCGCTGTGGGAAAATTTGCGGGACAAGCTGGCGAAATCCTTTGGTTGAGCGTTGATAACTTGCTTTGCAATAATTGTAAAATGCCTTACTGTTTATTTACAATGTTGACTATAAATTAAATTTCACTTTTGGCCGTTTTATTACACTTTTCTGTCCAGCGCTTGTGCAAAAAATTAACCGGCTGGACGAGGGCTGCAAGTGAATTGATTAATGATGAAAGGAACCGGTTCGTTGAACTAGATTATGGAATTTATCGATTTCGTACATTGCGTAAAATAATATTATAAGAATACATTGCGGTATATTTTATAAAGTTGTTTTTGTATTATTGTTTGTTTTATATTTAAATGCATTGTTAAATTATTGTTTGTTTATTTATGTTACGACATCCCTGGTGTTCCTAGCCGTATGGCAACGCTCTGAAATTGCGCAGCAACCCCATCTGGCCACACTGTCCCATTAGTTTTTTGTTTATGTTGGGTTGTCGGAAAAATCGGCTGTTTTCCGTGTGTCCGTCTGCCATGAAAAGCTGCTAAAAAGCTAAATATAAAAATCAGCGCAGCGCACACGTTCCGCTGCCTGCATTGTTTTACCATTTTAATGGGAAATTATGTGAGTGCGAGTCAGGAAAACGCATAGTGTGTGTATATATATATACATAAGTATTCCACTGCGCCCGTTTGTTTGTGTGTGTTTTTGTGTGCATGGTGCAATGGAAAAGAGATTATTATAAATGAAAATCAGTGAAATGTGTAAGTGTGGCACCTCAAACGCTTTGAACTTTTCCGTTCTTATGTTTTCACCTTGTCTTCTCTTCTCTTCTTCACCCTCCTCCCCCGCAGACAACCAACTCCCACTTGTACGTGTGTAGGAAGGCAGAAGGGTGTTTTACATTCGTGTGCGTGCCAGATAAAAAGACTTTGAATTTCTGGAGGATATTAGTGTCAACCGAGGGGGTATAATACGCCGTAGGCCCTAATATGCAGGCAAGTCCATTAATTACGCCAAAGGTCAGAGGTTAGGCACGCAGCCAGGATCCAAGGAGCAATAATAATGTTGTAAGAAGGCGACCTGTAAGCGAGAGCGAGAGAGCTGGAGTTTTGATGTGAGTGCATGGTAGAACAAAGAGGACGAAAAACACGGCTAACGAATTCGCCGAACGACACATTCGCCGCAAGGCGAATTCCAGCTTATCCCAGTGAACGAATGAAAAACAAAAGGATATCTTATTGAAACTGAACAAACTAAAGACTGCCGAAATAGTTATATAAAATCCAAAAACCATGTCTGCGGCCGAACTTGAAGCGGAGGCTTCAGCCCACGAGCAACAATCCCAGCAACAACAACAAAATCAATCACAAAGCGAGGAGATAAATACAAACACTGCCACCATCAATGCAAATGCAAACACAACAAATAGCTACAACAATAATTTGGATACGGAAACACAGCTACAGATGCACCAGGATCCGCAGCAGCAGGAAATCGAAGGCAACAGCAACAATGGCATCACAGGACTCGGCCTCAGTCTGATGAACTCCTCACCGCCGCCGCACAGCTACCGGCACTCGCGGGCCTATCGCCACTTCAAAAATCCGCCGCAGCCCCACATGTGCATCCGCACCACCACGGAGGCTGGCGAGGAGCTCTTCATCAATGTCCTCAGCTGGACGCGCATTGTGATACCGCAGGAGCCCAGCGATCCCATTCCCCTCTACGGAGGCATGCGGGTAAGATTAATTCGATTAAGGGTCCTAAAACATCTACATATATTTCACATTCGTTAGACAAAGTGTTTATGTTTTTTTTTTTTTTTTGCTTTTTTTCAGGTACCGCCTGGCAGTCCACGCAGTCCACCCATTGTCTTTGCCGTAATGGCCAATCCGGAGGTGCTGAAAGACTCAGGACGTCACAGCAAAGATCCTGAGGAGCGACGAGCTATGGTTGAGCTAATGTGCGACTTTGTGGAGGCTATGAATCCAGGCGTGAAATTAGTCAGGTATATATTGCCCGATTAAAAAAAGAATTTCAAGAAAAATATGTGATATATTCCCAGAAACGCCATAATACTTAAGGATCGCGATATCTCAGGCGAGCTGAAGGATGTCTGGAATGCTGTTCAAGCGCAGCGTGATCGCGAGAGGGAGGAGCAGATGATGCAGCAGCGCCAGCAGCAGCACTACCAGAACATCACCACGCAGCAGATGTTTCCCAAATCGCCGGATGCAACGCGGGCAGCTAGTGCTGGTGCTGCAGTGAACGAGGCCAGCTCCCCGCCGGCTCACCTATCTGAGCCGCTGTTGGCAGAGCAGGGAAATGGCAATGGCAATGGCAATGGGAATGGCATCACACTGGCTGTGTTTGCACAGCAGCTGGACAACAAAGTGGCCAGCGAGCAGGCTGAACAGCAGGAGCAAACGGCAGTTTCTGATGATGCTTGCGTGGATCAAACGGATGCAGGCAGTTCGGTGAATGGATCATCAACTTTGCTGGACAATCATTCGGTGGCGGTGGAGATTGAACCAGAGGTAAAGGTTATTCCATCGGCAGCCACGAATGGCGCTAGCACTCCGACATCCAGCAACGCAACACCCACAACAACCGCCACATCATCTCCCAGTCCAACCCCGGCTCCCGTTGTTGCTCCCGTTGTCACACCAACTCCTCCGCCAGCTGCTCCCGCAAAGAAGGAGAAACTGGGCGGCTTCTTGCCCAACGGCTGCATCTTCCCGCGCTTTAAGAACAACAAGCACAAAGACAAGGACAGCAGTCACAAGGAGGGCAAGAGCAAAGAGAAGACCCTGCTGAATGCGCTGAAAAAGAGCAAAGAGAAGAAAGTGGCGCCCAGTGAACAGCCGACAGAGAAAGGAGCCGCCTCGGACAACGGAACCACGCAGTATGAGAAGAACTGCATCAACAATCTGGAGTGCGAGGTGCAGAAGCTGGACTTGAACAGCGGCAGCAATGGCGACAATAGCATGTTCATCAAGCTGAAAGTTTCGCCGGCCAATGCCACAGCAGCGGCAGCGGCGGCAAAGTAGAGATAATCCTGAATTTACACACAAAAATCTCGTAGGTAAGTGGGATGTTAGGACGGAAGAGAGTAGGAGGCGGCACTCTCCAGTGAACAGTGTCACAGTGTCAGCACTTAGGGCTTAGAGTCGTGGATAGAGTCGTGTAGCATATACAAGATTTATATATACAGATATATATACATTCACACACCCGTTTACACCGTTGGTCAATTTTTTTGGATAGCCACTCAGAACCAGGACTAGAAGAACTAACAGTTGTGCCATGCTCCAGCTCATAGACATTTATAGACGACAGCGCTTCTCCCAGGATCTTCCCCGGCATTTAACTGACAGAATGATAAACGTATTTACATAGTTCAATATATGTATGATTCGCATACAGTTTGCCTTATATACAACAAGCCCAAGAGAGCGACAAGAACCTAGCAAGAACCAGTTGATAAGCACGAGAATTAATGTATTTAAAACGTAATCGTCGAATGTAACTCATGCGCCAAATGAACATCCCAGCACTCAACCACATCCTAGACTAACTACTTGCTCCATTCCCAAATTGTCTCATCACCTCATCGGGTACCATCCACCCCCAGATCACCAGACATCTCCCACTCCATCCGTAACCATATCCGTGCAAAAGTATTAGGAAACTTCGCAGATCCAAAAACCCTAACCCTGGATCGATTGATCTCCACGCTTTGAAGTTGAGGGGCAGTGAAAACAGCGGAGGGAGTTTTAAAGCCGGCTCTTTAGTGCCACGACTAACTTATGTACCTTAGTATACCCGAATGCGAAAACAGTATACAGACCACCCGCAATGTCGCTATTATGATTTATATTTTAATGTTCATCTTTTAGTTCCTCTTATTGGGTACCGAAGGGGGAAACTACTTCTCTTTCTATTTATTTTCCGTGCGTGCTTGTTGTGTTGTAATTGATACTGTTGGAATGTTTAACTTTTATTGTTTGTGCTAACCCAATCCCTCAACTTCAAACGAAACCATACACGAATCATATATTATAGAGAGTAAACCACTAGAAATCGAATAAATATTCGGGAAGCACCACTGAATAATGGGAAAACAAAAAGTTTCAACTGCAATATCGGACTGAACAAAGCTGCCATACGAAAATTATATACATGTAATGACTTTGTATATAAAGTTAGCAACAGATTTCCATTAAACAAAAACAAATAAAAAAAACGAAATTTCAATTGTGATTCCATCGAAAATCTAATTTTGTTTCCACATCGAAGAATTTTATTGAAAAACTCGAAACACATACACACGTATACCGAATAAAATATAATTTTGTTTGCTAGGAAAAACCTCACGTAAGCGGAGATCCCAACAAAAAGAACTTTTCTTTTTGTTTTTAGTTTATTTTTTTAGGTGCCATACAGGACGAAGCGTGTATGAGAATTAATCAAAATTGATTTCATCCAATTGGTATTATACTTAAGCCCAGAGTTTCCTTAATTGTGAGTTGAAACGAGTACCGAAAACCCTAAAGTCTATGCTGGTTTTTAACTGGTTGTAAATGAGAAATGCTCGTGTAAAATTAGTATTAAATTATAGCACGAACCCAACAACAGGAACAGCAACAAACATAACACTACAATTACAAATTAAATTAGTTTAAGACCCAAGTCTTCTAAGCGAAGAGCAAAAAGCAATAATTTTACTAGAAAAGAGAGACACGGCAAGAAAATCATAATGAAAATGCGTGTGGCTAGTAACAGCAATAGGGTAGGGGGACATCTGGAAAACTCAAGAGCACCATCTTCACTGGGCTTATCCGAGAGATGCAATACTGTTTCCTTGGAAATATCTAGAGTTTTCCGGAGCACCCGGAAAAACTTCTACAACAAAAAGCAAGCACACACTAGCGGATGAAAAGCCAACACACAAAAACACACATTTTTATATGTATATGTATGTAATAATAAAAGATCGTATTTGACAAAAGTGTATTTGAAGTTGCGATTTATTTTGCGAAGGATTTCAATAAATATGTGGAAATGTCTTAGCTACTTTCTACAGCACGACCTATACAAGGCGAACCATGGATGCGATGGATCTGCCAAACCCTTACGGATGGGTCTAGATCAGGATCTGGTTCCTACTCGTCCTTGTTGTTGATAGCGCGCAGGCGTTCCAGCTCGGCACGCTCCTCCTTGTTGCGCAGCAATGGGACATTGTAGTCGAAGGCATAGAAGAAGCCCTTGGGCTCACCGGTCTCCTCGGGTCCGGGTACATATGGCGGCTCCTCGTGCACGTAGGGCTGGTACTCGGGCTCGGTGGGCTGGTAGCGACCCTCCTGCTGGTACTCGGCGGCATAGGGATCGGGATTGTGACCAGCGGCGGCGGCCAGCTCGCCCCACAGCTTGAAGTGCTCCTCCTCGGCCTTGAGGACAGCGGGAGTTTTGGTGGCCGGCAGTTTAAGGTGCGCCGGACGGTTGTCCTCCACGTGGAAACCGGTCTTATCCGCATAGTAGTTGGCCACAAAGTCACGGCCATGTGGTTGCACATACTTGTACGAACCGGTCACCTTGCCCGTCTCATCGCGCCTCTCGTTCTTGCCCTGGTTCCAGTCCCTGTAGCCATAGGCAAACTGGCCCAAACCATCCTGACCATGGTACTGATGGGCGTCGTAGTGCTCCTCCACATAGTCCTCGGGATGCTCGATCACACGACCCATGTACACAAACTGCCCCTTGTCGTTGCGGGCCTCGGGCAGGGGATTCTCTCCGGTTTTCGGGGCATACTCGATGTCGCCAATGCCACGCAGCTGGGCGCTGTTCAGAAACTGCTGGGCCTCCTCGGGAGTAATGTTGATCTTAAAGATGTTCTCGCCGCTGGCTAGGGTGGCCTGAAAGAAAATGAAGCGTAAAAACAATTAGCAAAATATTAAGACAATCCGTAAAAGTGTGTCTTAAGAGTTAGCGAACTTTATGGCCAATTAAACACGCTACACAATTCTCGAGAGATCACAAAAAAAGGGTATGATGTCATATCATCTGTGATTAAAGTCTCATCTCACATGTAACCCGATGCTTGCTTAATTTTTGCACATTGTATAACTTTTGTATTTGCACAGTGCGATCCGCACACATTTGACATTTGTAGAGTCACAACCCGGACTTTAATTGAATGGATCGGATGTATTCAGAGATGCTCGTAAATATCAGCTTAATTATGCAAATTATCTGCATTTACCAGCAACAGGGCAGCCACGATGAAGCACTTCATTATGGATTCGGTTTGAAATATGAGTTATATATCCAGGTATCACTAGGTTTTCGCTGTTCTCCAGTTGGCGGGCTACTAATAACTGAATATCCAAAGGCACTGCTTATATACTAACTTTTAGATCGGCCAGGTATTGTTGTTTTTTGCGTTTTGCATAAATCTGAATGAAGATGTGCTGGCTGGCTGGCTGGCTGGCCGACTGTTTCACTGACCAGCAGTCTGAGCTTCACCTGTCCGGTTTCTTACTCAGCTTTAGAATCTCGCATCCCACAACCAGTGGCGGCAATTTGAAGTTCATTACCAGCTTCGCTCAAATTCGCACTTCTCACACTCGACTACGGATATATATTGGGAGAGATGCGGAGACAACTATGAAAACATCATTAATTGTATTTATGCCGCCTGGTCAATTAGTTATCTAATAGCTTTGTGGTCTATCCATCCATTGTTGCCTTCCACAGAACCCTTTTCGAAACGATTCAAGTGGCATTTTCAGCGCTCGTTGGCTGTCAGTTTCGAGTATCTTAAAGATACTTTTTTTGCCCAGCGGAATTTGATGGTTCAGCAGGCGTATTCAGCGGCTGAGTGTCTCAAATCTGGTTTCGATCATCTTATGGTATAAGCAGTTTGGATCTGCATTTTTTTCGTCATACGTTTTTCAAGAATTCTTAATTTGATTTGCTCAATAATTTTTTGAAATATACAACTTTTTTCAGGGAAAAGGTACCATTTTTAATCCAGATTCTGTTTGCAAGGTGCCCAATAGTCGAACCCCTAATTATGAAACGATTTACCCTAGCCACTTGGCTATGATTTATTTACAATTAAGCATCTTTGAGCGCCTCAATTACTTTTTACTTATAATTAATGCAAAGTATACTGCTAAAGGTTTAACTTTGACTACGGGTTTCCTGTAGATCGGCGGAAGTTTATTTGTTTAGACATGCGCCAAGCACTTGAAGTCCGCGATTGAGTGCTGCATAATTAGATGCGATGTGAGTAAAATAGAGGATGCGATGGGTAATCACATCAGCACACGGATAGGCGATCAAATGTCAGTTCAATAAGACCGGCTCAAGTGTAATTAGAGACCACCTATCTTGGGTTTCGGGAAGGGATCTTGGGCTTTCGGACCATCGATCGATCGTGCCGGGCTCTTGAAAGGCGCTTATTAGGCGTTTACAAGGGCAACTGCGCAGTTGCTCGATTACAAAATTACCTAACTATTTAAATAATAAACACGCTTCACGTTTTTCAGGCTGGGCTCGTAAACATCTTCGATTTTCGGATTGCGTCTATACTGCAACAGTCGATTTTGAAAGTCAAGCGTAAATAGCCACATCATCAGCGTTAGTATCATCCATCCCTCATAAATAGTATCATCAGCAACTGTTGCTGTGTGTTTCCCATGATGTTTTGGGATATTTTTGCTATTTTTAAGTCAGACAAAGGCGAGCCAATCTGTAGAAAGAATTTTGGTTGGTTCCAAATACTAAGCAGCTTTAGTAACAACTAAGGTTCTGGGCTATTCATGATTCACGAACAGGTTAGCCTTAGTTATGTGGCAAAATATATCCATTGACGTCCAAGTTATAACTAAAGTAATTTCGATACTTTGCAATTTTATTCATTTGTTTTTGTTATTCTCGAAAATTTCTGGAATCTTTAAGCTAAAGTATACAATGTATTATATGGAAAACTAATTGATTCATTCTTATGTTTGTTATTTTGTTTTTGAATTCCAATTGATGATGCCAATGTCTAAATAAAAACGAAGACCTAATTTCCAACCAAAAATCAGGTTTTTGGGCTTGTCCGTCTTAAACTTTATTGATAATTATTTATAATATATTGTTATTTTTTGCCGGCTTTAAAACATCAAATAATTGCGTATGATAAATGAGGATGACGGTGTTGTTGATGGCGATCGTGCTGTGGGAATCAGATGAAATGTCAATTAAGTTTGCATTTATATTTTTTGATTAAAGCTCTAAAATTTGCTCTGCCAATTTAGGCGGAAGTTAAGCTCGCTCAATTATTGGAAATGTTTCCATGTGAGCAAGTTATTTGTTTTATGACAATATAAATAATTCATTTGAATAAATGTTACTTATTAAAGCATTACTATAAGGTGAAAACATTCTCCACAGGCGTAAGAAAATTTGTTTAATATCGTTTCATTTTAAACCTGGGTGACAGAATATGAATTTTCGTTGCTTTCAAAGTAATAATCAGAATTTATAATATCCTCTTCGCCCATTATAAAAATTTACCAATTAAAAAGTAATAATGGTTAAATGATGAATTACTTGATTGAAAAGAGATACAAGAGACGATTTATATATTAGCTTTAAAAATGTAACGGTCGCTGAAGTCTCGTAACAATCAGTCAGTAACAGGCATTTCCAGAGTTGCCCTGTTTAACAATCGATAGCTGTTTTCGGTAGCTCGTCACTAACTTTCCTTCAGTCAACGGTCACACTGTCTGGCCACCAAAATCCCAAACTTAATTAAAGAATTAAATAATTCGTATAATAATTAAGCCCAGTAACCTACGCAGTCCGAGTGCGTAACCGAAGTGTTGTATATATTTCGATACATCGAAATCATGGTAGTGTTGGAGACGGAGAAGGTAAGACGAGAAAAGGCGAGCCGCATGGTTTCGATTTCGGCTCAGCCGTGGCAGGAACAACAGAAACAGGGTTGTTGCACAAGAGGGGAGGCGATAGTCGAGCGGAAAAGTGTGCAGTTGGCGTGGCTTCATCATCATTGTGTTCACCGATTTTCTACCCAAAATCAACAATTATTTTTGCGCACAGTTGCTTAATATTAATTATTCTTGCACGCTGTTGTCTACGTCATAGCAATCGCTCTCTCTGTCTATCTCTATCAATCTATCTCGCTTTCGCGGTCACTCGCTCTCTTTCCTCTCCTCTCGCATTTGCATACCACACGTTTTCAGTGTTCTCTCTCTCTCGTCACTCTCTTTGTGGCTGGAATTTGTCAAGACATCGCGCGCGTGTGTGTGGGTTTCTGTTTCTTTTAGCTACATAAATAGGCGAAACGGAGAGACAAAAATGGAAAGAACCAAAAAAGAGTGAATTACTGCAATTAAGCAGTCGCGAACAACAGTTAAATCATATTCTTGTCGGCCATTGCAGTCGCGAGCATCGCCAAATAAACCGTTGGTTTTCTCTCCCTCTTTACTTTCCACCTCCTTAGACGTTAATTTTCTTCAGTTAATCGCGCCGCTGCTTTAAACTCGCACACGCAGTCTCGAATTTTAGCCGCAACAAAAAATAAAATCATACAACTCTTTTAACTCAAATATAAAACAATTCCAATTCTTTCAACAGGCAATCTGTGTTTTTATGTCAAATACGTGCGCGTGTGTGTGTGTGCTGTAATTCCATCGCCACTTTTGATTCGGAGTTCCTTAGGAACAGCACTATTAGTTCGCATTTTCTACCAGTAGCCTAGTCCCTTTTCAAGTGAAATAGGATACTCAAACACCACATACTCAATAAATAGTTACAACACCCACTCAACCACACATCAAGTTTAACGAGTTTTTTGTATCATCATTACTTAGTTTTTTGGTTAATAATACACAAGTGAACAGCGAACTGCAAGGGAGCGAGATATCAAGAAACAATCCAAAATCCACACACACTCGAACAAAAATCAAAAGCTTCGCTCTCTCGCACACACACGCACCAACCACCACCACCACCACCTCAACTATCACAAACACAACGACAGAGAGAGAGAGAGAGAGAGAGCGGCAAGTGAATCACGTCGAATCGAAACCGATCCGAATCCACTCCGGAGCCGAAAAAGAACTGATCCTACCATCAAACGCATCCAATAAACACGGCCGCCAACATGCAGAGCGACTTTCACAGAATGAAGAACTTTGCCAATCCCAAGTCCATGTTCAAAGTAATACTCTCAGTGCGCCTGTCGCTAAGCCAAGCTAATCTAATCTTCTGAATCCACCCCCCATCTATTTATCATCTCCCGCAGACCAGCGCCCCCAGTAGTGAGCAGGGTCGTCCGGAACCACCCACTTCGGCCGCAGCGCCCGCCAAGGCCGAGGCTAAGGATATCAAGCCCAAGGAGGACGCCCAGGAGGCTGGTGAACCAGCAGCAAACACTGCAAACACCAACGCTCCCGCCGGCGACGATGCTGTGCGCACCGAGCACCTGTTCAAACACCCGCTCATGAACGTCTGGACGCTGTGGTACCTTGAAAACGATCGGTCCAAGTCCTGGGAGGACATGCAAAACGAGATCACCAGCTTCGATACCGTCGAGGACTTCTGGAGCCTTTACAATCACATCAAGCCCCCATCAGAGATCAAGGTGGGCAGTGACTACTCGCTGTTCAAGAAAAACATTCGGTGGGTTTGGTGTTTATCGCATCTCTGCCAAGATCACCTTTCTAACTGATATCCTACTTGCAGTCCGATGTGGGAAGATGCAGCCAACAAACAGGGCGGTCGTTGGGTTATTACCCTTAACAAAACCTCCAAGAGCGATCTGGATAACCTATGGCTAGATGTGGTAAGTGTACAGAAAAACGAGTGGTGAGAGGACTGTCTATTTATAGTGAATGTATATGCTTGAAATGCAAAAATATAGAAATAGGCGTTTGATTTTGCAGTATAATTGACTACTTCTAGAAATTATCAACTGAACTTTTGCTTTTATCATTTGAAATTTGTCTTAGAAAATAGAATTGTGAGCTTAGATCATAAATATTTTTTTGCATATGACTAACTACACAACTGTTCTCTTTCAGCTGTTGTGCCTGATTGGCGAGGCCTTCGATCACTCCGATCAGATCTGCGGGGCTGTTGTAAACATTCGCGGCAAGAACAACAAGATATGTAAGTTTTCACACCCTAACTTCTTCGGATGCATTTGTTTAATGATTAATGCTTTCCAGCCATCTGGACTGCCAACGGAAACAACGAGGAGGCTGCCCTTGAGATTGGTCACAAGCTGCGCGATGCACTGCGTCTGGGACGCAACAATTCGCTGCAGTATCAGTTGCACAAGGACACGATGGTCAAGCAGGGCTCGAACGTGAAATCAATCTACACTTTGTAGGCTGTCTAGCCTCGCTCCACAATCGATCCGATCCCTCACAGATTAGTTTGTGTTACCTTTATTTATCGTTATAAGCAGCAGTAGCGATTGATCGATCGTAACTCTTGTCCAAGACCCGCGTAACGAAACCGAAACAGACCCTTTTGTTATCAAAAATCGGCATAATATCAAATTTATCCGCTTTTTGTAGTCATTGTCAATAATGGATTTAACGGAAAAGTATAATAATAAATACCTACATTAAAATCGGATACTGAGATTTTTGATTTTGTATAAATATAATTTGGATATGACTCAGTATTTCAATATATAAATAGGTAGAATCTTCAGAACAAAATAGGTACATGAATTACCTATATTAATTATTTTTGGTATTATAATTATTTCGTGAATTCCAACACGTGCTTTGGGGCTGTGACTATCCAATTATGGAAAAACTTCCTAATTTGGAATTGAATTTGTTGCTAAAAATTCGTTACCCGTTTTTAGGGTGGCCAAAATATAATCGATAATCGGAATCGATATATCGATACGTTTGCTGGACAAACACTAAAATAATTTTAACATTTTTTGCAAATTGTCATTGTAATTACATATATTTTTATGAAATTAGTGATTATTAACTGGTTAATTAAAACCAGTTACAGAAATTTATAAGCTTTTTTCATGAGCCAAGAACGGTCACACTGCACAAGGCATGTTTCAATTGTTAATCCGCAGTCACACTGGTCGCGTCGTTTGGAGAAATCGTGAAAGGATATGTCTCCGTGTTTAGCTAAATAAAATACATAAAAAATATGTGCAGTCCTGAGAAGCATAGCCATTGAGCGTAGACTAGTGGAGCAGCTCATGCTGCGGCAGAAACAACAAATTTACAACCAAACGCTGTAAAGTTTGTCGCGCATAAGCGGAATAAACATATAATAATAGACCAGCTACCAACACAAACAAACACACACGGCCCGAAGTTCGTTGGCGTTGAAAAGGAAAAATAACTAAAAAAAAAAGAAAGAAAGGAAAATAACAGTGCAATAGATTCGGTTTACATTGTGCAAAAAATCGAAGTAGCCCCTGCCAACAGGGTCGCTAAAAATAAAGACGGCGACAGCCTCTGTTTATCGCTGGGAATAAACAAATATATGGCCAACGGAGGAGAATCATAACAAAGGCGCAAGACTAGCCAGCATAAAAGACAAAGGAGCTCCCTGCTCCCGCCCCCACCCCTTTTTGGGGTTGAAAACCCCCCTTTGCATTGCGGAGCAGCATCGCACCGACTATGAGATACCCTGCAATCTAGCTTATAGTGCTATAGCGAGTTACGAACGAAATGCCTTGCGACAACGCCAAAACCTCTTCGGATATCGAGCATGTGGATTGGAATTCCGGCCAGCACTATGCAAATGTCAGGTGAGTTTTGCCACTCGAATGTCCTTGATATGGCCGAAAAAAAAGGAACCCTATACGTTATTCAAGTACACCGCACAACAAAAACCCAAAAAATAAATACGAAAAGAAAAATAAAATCAAGTGCAAGTGCAAGCACGCAATTGAAAAATCGTGGGATGGTTGACATTCTTCTTGGCATTGTCCATTGTTTATTTATAGCCAGGAAACGGACATGATTTAAATGTTTGATTGTCCGTCTCTTGGGCAAACGAAATAATTAAGTTCTCAACGCAGGTTGTAATTGCTAAAAACCAAAGTGTGGGCTTTGCTAACAATAAACAAATCCAGCTGTCCATACTAAGATCAGAAAACCCCCTTCCGAAAGCCAACACAGATAAGATATGGCTATAAGTGAAAACGAAAATAACCAAGTTTTAAGCAGAAAGTGATTCATTCCCATATGATATCACATTCATTTGCTCCCTTCATTTGTACATCTGCACTTAAATGTTATGCCACTACCAACCGTTGAGATCTCAATCGCCGTAATCCCCATCTAACGCCTGCTAATGACAGTCATTAGGCAACAGTTAACAACATTGACTCGTACTTACCATACTAGTTCCATGCCGATCGGCACTGCGATTGAAATGCAAATATGGGCGCTGCGATCTTGGTAAGGTGACAAGATCTTGACGCGAAGCGCCAGCTGTTATCTGTTTAAACAATTATACGATTATAAAGTACTTGCGATTTATTTATATTTCAATCTGAAGTGACGTCGGGGCATTGACCATACTCTGCGATTTTTCATGGAGCTAATAGGGTCTAAAACGAAGATAAATCATATACATATATAAATATAACTACGTTATAATTATAATTCACTCATAAAAGTCATTTTCAAAAATTAAAGGAGTTGAATGTAAGTGCTTTTCAGATTCATTTAATTCCAATTAATATAAATTTAAAAGCAGCTTTTCGGTATCAATCAAATAAACTGATTTTTGCTCAATAAACTTTATGAATTGACATGGTATATTTATCAAAAGACACTCATTAAGTAGACATAAATTCCAGTATTTCATATTCCCAATTTTAAAACGTTTTCAGTGGAAAGCACGTAAATACTCAAAAGTACACATTTTAATATTGTGAAATATCTGAGCCTCTTTATATATGCACATCTTTTGTGAAATACAGACCGTTCAACACCCTCGATGTCATTCTGATGAGGCTTATCATCCGGCCATCGCAAATCTAATCTGTCGCCGGAGTGTATAAATGTGTCTCAGGCTGCGGGTGGTGTTTCTGTCATTTCAGGTGTCGTTGTTAAATAAACATTGGCAATCGTGTTTGCTTATATATATGGCGGCGTTGGCTTGGGCAATTACGATCAAATATTGGCCGAGTATCATGGAAATGTAAAATGGAGCGTAGCGTAAAATATACCATTGATAAGAGGCGGCTTTTCCCAAGCAATTGCGCTCGCAGCCCGCACATCGCATAGGTTTTCCAAACAAAGGCGCAGTATATGCACCACACACACATAGTATGCATATGTATGTATATTTGGCACTTCAGTGGGGTATAACTTTTGCATTAATTGCCGCGAACTTAAACCAGTTGGCGCTCGGACTTAAAATTAAGTTTTACACAGAGCGCAAGCACATCAAAAATAATGCGCAAAATATGAAAGAAGCATTGGAACAAAGCGCAGGCAGCGAAAACAAAGCGCAAAACAGTTGAATTGGACCCCGCCTGACTCCGATTTCTCCCTTTCCACTTCCAATTCCGTCCCGTCCGGCTGGTTTGAACCTCGAAATCGCCCGGAATCCCCCGGTTCCTTGCGCCACGTGAAGATAACTTGTTTCATCTGGTCCGGCGGAGGTGGAGAGGGCGTGCACCGTTCCGTTGTTCAGGCGTGGAATTTAATAATATGCGCTAATTTGGTCGTAATTACAAGTGGGGGCATGGGGAGTAATAAAGTTCTCAAAACACCCAAATCTTACGCAAATAACACGGACAAAAATAACACTTGCCAAGCTCGCCTCGGATAATTAAGCGATATGGTCCGTATTATGGGCTGAGTTTTACTGAGTTATCAGAGCGACCGAAATCAACATTAATATTCTTACTCATTTCCGATTTGAACTTTTATTTCAAGCGGGCTTAAGTCTTGGGCCACAGTATTGTTCTTAATATTAATCTTGCCTTTCTGTTTAAAAACAGTTTCGTTTTTATCAGCTTACATTCCTAACAATTGTTAGGCTGTATTTTTCTAGAGATGATAACAAACGAATAAGTTCAAATTAGATTAGCGAACCTAAATATTTGCTTACCGGGAAGAACACGTTTCGCGGAATTCGCCAATTTCCTTCGGAAGCACTTTAAAAACAAAGTTAAACAAACGAAAAGTACGATGAGCAGCGGGAATGTTGAACTGCAGCTTGCACTTGAAACCCAATACCCGAGAGCAAAAAGGTTTTTATTTTTAGTTTCGCTGAAATAAAGCACCTGCCTGGCGTTCTCTCATTCACCTGGTAATGCGATAGCGATTCCGATGTGTGTGTATATAGTGTGTGTTTATACTCGTACATACCCTTTTGATATCGCCTAATCAAATTGTGGAGGGCAATAGCAAACAGAATAAAAGTGATGATCAATAATAGTGTGAGAAATCTTCTGCGTTTTGTAATCGACAGAAAGTCACAGTACACAGTACATTTGTACTGCCTTTTTTACTTATGGATTATAATTGAGTTCAAAATTTGTTAACAGGCAATTTGCGTTCCCAAAAGACCCATAAACGTCAATGTCATCAGGCTGTTTCAGTTCAGATGAGTGGTTCCATGAGGTGTGGAAATGGCCAGCCGGCGACTGTCTGTCGTCTAATGAAGTCGTTAAACTAGCGACTTAAGCATGTCCTTAACTTGCCAAAAGCGCCGAGAAAGGATAAAGGACCATCCTTTGAATAGACAAACATGTGTACTTGCGGCCGTGTACTTTATGAACCGCTTTCTGCGGTGTAGGCCATAAACGTGCCATGCGCTCCATCGATCCAAGGCCAGTCGATTGGCCCCCCAAAAATAAAAAGAGCGGGGCAAGAGTAAAGAGGACGTGTCCAGTTCCATGTCCATGACCATGTCGACAGCCACAACAAATGTGCTGGCAGAGCCTCTGACTGTCCTGTTCTGTCCTTCGCCTCAATCACGCACTGGCTGCCTGAACTCTAAAAACCTCACAGATACAGACGGACAAACAGAGTACAAAGGTACTCGGGATAGTGCAGATTGGCAGGGGGAATGGCCATCCCACACTGAGGGCAAATAAGTGGAAATTAGTCATTGGTTGGTGCTTTTTCGTATGAATAATCTGACTCATTTAGTATTCAAATTAACATGAAAAATACGTGTTTCGTATGTTTTTAATTTTTAAAAGGTAAATAAATAAATAAAGCCAACTGAATTCTATGAAATACATCTGACCAAAAGTTTTACAATTACAACCATATCACAATATATCCTTGTTTTCCTCCGTGCACCTCATAGGGTAGAAAGTAAAAGTCCACTCAGTTAGTTAGTCAGTTAGATTAGATATTCCTCTCCGACCGTCCAGATCCCTCGGAAACCAATGGCAGGTGCTGAGTGGGCGTTTGTCAGCCATAATGATAGGGCGGACCACGGAACTAATTGCCTTGGCCATAAACCAGCACCAGATTGCCGCAGTCCAAAGGGAACCACATCAGAACTTAATTGATATGTGTACTTTCTGGGAAAGGGGTGTGCACGTAAATGCATGTGTACCTTTCACGAGGAAAGCACAATGTTCCCACATTATATTTACTTATCGTTCTATCAATTTTTTATAAATATGCATTCGCGCACAATGTACTGCTTAAAACTGAAAAATGCCGTGATTGAACAATTAAACTGTCTATTTCAATAATGAGTTCATTTTCTTGGATTTCGGAAAATATAAATTATATACCAAATGAAATAATGATTGATCTACCTAAAAAGAGTGCGTTTTTAACTACATGAGAACCTGAGATTGGTTGATACCACATTTTATGATAACTACTGATGATTGTGATTCATTGAATACACTCATATTCGCCCACGTTTCACATCCCATTCAAGCAGAAAAAGTCAATGACTTCTTTCAATTTCACTTGCAACCAACTGCAGCTGCCTCATCACTTATTTAAATTCACGCTTAATAATGAATGGAAAATGAGGGATGGCATCATGCGATATGATTTCATAAATGCACACGGAAAGTTTTCCATCAAAATGTGTTAAAAAACTATAGCAAAAATGTCGTTAAGATAAGTGCATTTCTGACACATTTATACGATTAGCACACACTTAATAACTTGTCTAATTCGATTATACTTTTAATTGATGTTTTGCTTATAGCGGGAATAGTTAAAATGATTGCATTGCTCATAAGAGAACATATAAATATTCATTGACTGCGTTTGCTAGTTAGTTACATGCGATTTTTATAAGTTATGATATAATATTTTAATTGCACATCAATATCTGCATCGACAGGAATTGATTAATGATTTACAGCATGCATGACTACTTACATACTTGCTGTTAAGTAAATACAAAATTTGGATCAACCTATGTGATAACTGATTCAATTTATTGCTTTTGTGACGCTTCTAATGTTAGGGAAAAAACTAGACTTTGACGCAACAATTATATCTAAACCCACACGAAATAGCCTTATAACTTTAGTGACCTGAATGTAAAATGACCTACATTTGGCATTTCATGTGGTACTTAGTTATAAATAAATTAATTAACCTACAGATCAACATTCATGAAGATGGAAAGCAGGTCCGCAATGTAATATTGCTCAGTTCTTATACATACTGCCGTGGAAAAGACTCTAATCCTGTTCTAATCCCTTCCAGATTCGGTTCGGGCAGCAGCCAGGCATCGCAGAACAGCGGCGACATCTGCCGCATCTGCCACTGCGAGAGTGATCCGCAGAACCCGCTGCTCACGCCGTGCTACTGCTCCGGAAGTCTGAAGTACGTGCACCAGGCCTGCTTGCAGCAGTGGCTCACCGCCTCCGAGACCAACTCCTGCGAGCTCTGCAAGTTCCCCTTCATCATGCACACCAAGATCAAGCCCTTCAACGAGGTGGGTACATCTCACATGTCACATTTTCTTATTGAATGCCAGCTAATTTATTTCACTTTGTCTTTGCATTGTTTGGCTTCGGAATCGATTGGATTGGATTGGATTCGACTGGCAATTGCAGTGGCGCAGCCTTGACATCTCCGGCATTGAAAGGCGGCGGCTGTGCTGCTCCGTGCTGTTCCACTGTGCCGCTGCCTTGTGCGTCATCTGGTCCCTGTGTGTGCTCATCGAGCGGGCCGCCGACGATGTCCAGCGTGGCATAATAGGTGCGGGGTGTTAGTAAACTTGATACTTGGGTTCGGTCAGGCCGAAAACCCGCTCAGGGAATTCAGTAATTGTCTAATTGACTGACCTACCTGAACTCGTTCTCTTAATATACCTACTGTTTATTCTTTACGGATTCTAATTACCCATTTACTCACCGCATTTCAGACTGGCCGTTCTGGACAAAGCTAGCCGTCGTTACTGTGGGCCTTACCGGCGGAATAGTCTTCATGTATATCCAGTGCAAGGCATATCTTCACCTCTGCCACCGTTGGAAAGCACGCAACAGGTCAAGATCATGTAGCTGATAAATCGGATTCCGATTATTAATTACTGATATACTACACCAGAATTAATTGTCTAGCTGGCAGGTTTAATTAGATAATTAGTTCCATATAGCGAAGTCCAAATATTTCGCTAAAACTCTCCATAGTAGTTGTAAAATAACAACAGTGTGTAAAGAACTTAATTCAAAGGAATCATCGAAATTTGCAACTTTATAATCTGAAAAATGCATACAAATGGGGAGATTCCTATCTCGTTACGTTAAACAAAGAAATATTTCATTTCTATTCAACGGAGACAATCATCTGTATTTTAATCGGAATTTTCTATTCAGCATTCCATTGTTAAGGGTCTTGTTAGTAGTAGTCTGATATTTAATTGTACTCGTATGCGTTTTCGATTAATGATGATGCTTTAATACGCCAGTTTGGGATTTGCTTATTACCCTGTGTTGAAGGCATTCACATAAAACAAATTAAGTGCATACCTATTTAAATTAATGTTTTCCCTAGCCTTGCGCCATTGTGAACTATCTATTTACAATATGTGTCAATCAATCTCTTCTAAAACAATAAGCAAGTATTGCGAAAGATTCGATTTAATTGGTTTTAATAACTAAGCTTTTATTTACTATCTTGGATATCCAATGCTGTCTGATTGTATTATTTTACATAAACATTTTCCCTATTTTAATGCAAAGACGTGATATCCTAGCCATTTGGGAGCTTCTCTGATTACACAAACTTTAGGTCACATTCAAATCATAGGTTTTTATCCAATTATGGTGAACAATTTCAGTGGGCTTAGAATAAATCAATTGCTGGGGACTTATTTTGCCTTACTATGTCTACAGAAATCATTTAGGAAAGCAAAACGTATATAATATTTCCAATCAAACAATTGTCTTACAGAATTCTACTGATTCAGAATGCGCCGGAAAAGATACATCCTGTTTCCCCTCCATCCCCGGTAGCCGCCCATCATCAGCACTTTAGTGAGCCACTGGCACATGCCGGTTCGACGAGTGGAGCTGTGGAAATCAATGCAAGTGGTGCGGCCGGAGGATACTGTGGCCACGAGGCGAGCTGTGCATCTATGGATAATGGAGGCGGCGGTGCTGAAATGGGTCTACATCAGCAAATGCAGCGCCTCCTAAACGCCTCGCCACATCATATGATCCAAATGGCCGCCGAGCTAGAGGTGCCACACAGCAGCAGCAGTGCCTGCACGCAGACAGAGGACGGACATGGCCACCAGCGGCACCAGCAGATGCAGCAGAGCGGTCAGCAATTGGGCCAAGTGGCGGTGGCCGCCAACATCGAGTGCTCGCAGTCCCAGCACAATTACGATCGCGACTGGGCGCTCGATGATGTTGTCTCGCAGATCTCCTCATTCCGGCCCTGCCCTCAGGGATCGGGCAGCATGACGCCCTTCCACGACTCCATACACAACGTGCTGGAGCACTCGGAAGGTTCTAGTCGCGGCTCTGCTACGGATCTCTGCGCCGGATCACGGCAGGATCTCAGTGCCAGCGGCATTTCCACGGATACGGGTCGCGAGCACGCTCTGCAGTTAAGTAGCTTTAGTGGTGAGTGCCTTCATTTGATACAATTCTTACATTTCGCTAAACCTTATTTGTTTGCAGGCAGTGGCGAACACAAGGCGCCCTCGATCAGTTCCGGAGTATCTCATGCTGTAGCCAACGGGCTCGGCGGATTTGTTTACAAGCCGCACCAGACAAAGCGCTACTCCAACTCGTCCATCTTTTTGGAGAACCGCGATGTGCTGAGCGATCAGACCAGCGTGGGTCCCGATACTGCCGTACATCCTTACGATTACAGCACGCCGCCAAAGATCGACTACCGTCACTCTGGTATAATGGGCGTGGATTTGCCCATTGGTTGCTGCACCACTGATTGCTTAGGTGGTCAGCAGACGAAGGAAGAAATTCGTCGCTACTCGGATCCCAAGCTAAGTCCCGGCGAAGCGGATACCGTGCTGGATATCGATCTGCCCACATCGCCACTATCACCACCTGCCGCTTATGCCAGCCAGCAAAAGCAGCGGGATTCCCGTCAGCATCCCCATCCGCTTGTGATCTCCTCCTCCTTTGACCGTGGAGTGGACGGGGTCAGTAGCAGCAAGAGCAGCAGGGCTTACGGTCCCTCGGACGCCCAGGTGGATCGATCACGGCTCAGTTTCAAGTCGTTGCCAAATCTCAGCAGCAGCTGCGAAAGTCTCCTCCAGAAGTGAATGGAAAATCCTGCCCAACTGGTCTGATGTGATTCACTATGATCTGCGCGCTCTTTCTCCCCAACAGGCTCTGCTCTCAAGTATTCACCGCTGGTCGACGGAGACCCCAAGATCTACATAGAAAGTAAAATCGAAATACTATTTTTTATACCGCACACCAAGGGGCTTCAAAAGCCAGATCGTGGCCAGCGGCCCAGCAATCCCTATGTTCTCCACTTTATATAGCAAAACCCATAAACAATTTGAGACTGCAATGATTAAAACGAAACACAAAAAAGATAACTTAAAAGAAATGAATATTGTAACATTTAGAACCAGGCAGTTTGAGTATATTGATTTAGTGGCTAAATCGATGTATAATTTATCCTGTATTCGTGTACTGCTATTATTATCCAGCCTCTTCGATCCCATACATACATATATGTATGCCCACTAAGTTGTCCATGCCAAAAAGCCCAGAAACCAACCAGAGACAGTAATTATTTAGTCCATGTGTAGGATGTGTTTTGTTTCTTAACTTCTAAGTCAAATGAAATTTTAAAAAATTGATCTGTGATTAAGCGTCATTGAATATACATACATAACGTGCATAAATGCAAGCAAAAAAAAAACATTGACAGCAGCCGCAGCAGTAGAAAATGCAGAAGAAAATATAAAATACATTTTTACTTAACATCAAATAAGAAAAAACCAACAACAGCAACATGACAACCACTAAAAGCTTTTTCGCGGTTAACAGCGAAAGCTCCACGGAGCCGAGAATACTGAGATATATCCGTATCTCAAAACCCAGCTGAGAAATATGAATGAAAGCCGTTTTAGATATAGATATAGAATTAACAGTAAATACTTATGATCGCTACAAGTTACGAGCATAAAACAACCAATATGAAATCAGAATGGGCAACTAAATTTTTTATTATGTATTAAATATTTAAATAAATATGTGCAAACAATTGATTAAATTATTTAAACGAGGTTCTTATCTTGGATTTTCTTTCAGTGTACGTGAAAAAGAAAATTTCCAAACTTCTGTCATAATGTGAAAAGTTATATTCAATTATTAATTCAAGAATTTTTACGAAAAGAAAAACCATTCCAAATTTCCATGTATGGATTGTATGGAAAGCTTCCGAATCTACAAAAGCAATCAATGACAATGGCAATCAATTTCCAAAGTCCAATTCAAGGACAAGGACAACAGAAGTACACAAACCCCTTTGAAGTGAATGACACCCAACAAAAGCCGGTTTACCTGGAATGCAAATACATGTGCAGATTGCAAATGAAGGAGCGAAAAAGGGGAGAAACAATCAAAAACTCGACAGCTGACTTCTTTTCGTATTTATTGTATTCGTTTATTCACAAATGAAATGCAAAATTCTCCCGAGTGTTGCGCCTGTTCTTGTTACAAAAAGTATAAACTCAAAGGGAGCAATGAATTCTCCAGTTGTTTAGCCTAATCATACACACTAACATGGTTTTTTTTTAAGCATTATGATATATGGAGATTAAAATCTCTTAGCCTAGGATGTGATGATGTGTGTGAATGTGTTCGTGAGCGGGTAATACATTGGGTGTGTTTGTGGTGTATCCTTTTTTTTAGTCTTGCACTCTCCGAGCAGCGCTGCAACACTCCCGTTTTCGCTTCTCCTTTTAAATTCTTCTTTCTCTCGTTCTTCGCCAGCGAATCTCGTCTTCTTCTTCCTCCTCTTCTCGTTCCTTACTTGCCGGTCTCCATTTTCTCGCCGCCGCCATTTTCGGCTTTTCCATCGCCAGCTTCGGGTGCCTTGACACTCAAATGGGCAGGACCTGTTTGCTGGATCTGAACAATGCGCTCCGACTTGGCCTGCTCCTTGCTGGGCGGCGGCGGGGCCTTGAGGGTCAGCACACCGTCGGAGGAGACGGTGGACACCACATCGTTGGGGTCAAAGCCCTTGGGCAGGGTATACTTGCGCACGAAATGACGCTGGATCATTCCATGGCCATCCTCGCGCTCCTCGTGCTTGCCCTCCACCACAACAGTCTGGTCCACCACCTTGACGGTCAGCTCCTTGGGCTTGAACTGCGACACATCCATGCACACCTGGAAGCCATCTTTGCCCACAGCGGGCAGCAGAGAGTTTTGACCTCCCGAGGAGCGACGCGGCACCAGGTGATGGTGGTGGCCATGGCTCCTCTCGTACGGCGAGTAGCGACGCCGACCCACACCCAGGTTGCTGGGCAGCATCAGGCGACGCGGATGGAACAGATCGTGAGCATGGACGCCAAAACCGAAGTCATCCTCCAGCAGATGTTCCCAGTCGTTGCGGTAGTCGTGATCCAGCTCGCGGGCCAAGTGCAGCAGTGGTACAATCGACATTTTTGATTTTTTTTCTCTTTACGCACAATCCAGTCTAGACAAAGAAAACTTTTTCTTTAGTTTTTTTTTTTTTTTGAGCTAAGCTTCCTTCAACGTTTGCCTTCAATTTTTGAGTTTCGACTGTGCTCGAGCGACGTCGACGCCGGCTTTTTATACCGACGCTGGGCTCACACACACTAGTGCAAGGCAGCCAGGGGCGGATCTTAAATAAAATGATGGGGGGCTGTTATATTTTGTAGGTTCTGGCTCCAGAGAAGGTTGTCGCTTTGAACCAGTAATGCAAATATAATAATATTTAGATATTAGTTATTCTGCGCTTTCGAAGCCATTGTAAGTTATCGTTATCCTTCAGATTTAAAAATTTAAGCAATCCCTTTTAGCCCCTTCAATACGTCCCTGATATCAACAAACTGTTTTCTCTCGCATGTTCTGGCTCTTTCTAGCACAGCCGGCTTTTCATAGAGTGAGCGAGAGGGCGCTAGAAAGTTCTTGACTTTTCTTTTCTGGCTGTTTCTCTTTGCGAATAAAAAGCATAAAGAACAGTTAAAATGCAGTACATAAGTACGTATGTACATACATTTGTATGCAGATATATTTATTTAAAGCATTTTCTTCTCTTATCGGGCTTTTTTAAACGCTGTCTTTTCAGAGTGCAACGGAGCTTACATTTTCATTGGACAAGTGCATTGAACCCTCGTTTCGCTTCGTACTGCTCTCCCACCGCACACACACACACCATCATGTTTGCCGTTCTTTTGTTTGCTGCAAACATTTTTGCAGTTGCCTTGCCACTGCTTCGCGAAGTGGGAAAACGGGGCAATTGGAGATTTTGCAAATTATTTGCAGTCTGTTGCAAGAGTGGATTATTGTACATACACATGTATGTTTTAAATCTATGCGCCCTTTGTTAGACATTTAACCGAAATCCATATTTTCAAAAACTTATGTATTACCATTTAAGTACATACAAATGTATGTATACATATGCATGTATGTATTTTCGAAAATGTAAAACATAAAGTTGAATAAAACATCTATGTATAACATACATACATCTGTATATACATATATATATGTATGTACTTGTAGAGATGTCCCCTTGCAGAAATTCCTTAAAAAGAATAGAAAGAAAATGAAATGTGCATACAGACATGTGTATATTTTTATGTACTTACATACATATGCATGGCATGGTGTACTTATGTATGTGTATATACATACATATGTACGTAAGTATTTAACCTTGAATGCGCTTCCCTGCATTCAAGAAGTTTCCAATGTATCATGAATCCTAAGTAATGTAACTTGTTTAGGACAGAATAGTTAAATAAAAATGCCATTTTACGTGACACACATATCCAATGCTGAAAGTAAATTCTAGAAATTGGCACCATAGGAAAAGGGCCTCCCTCAACAATTCCAATAAGAACAGTAACCCAAACCCAACCAGAAAAAACTGACCAAACTCAGGCATATGTATGTATGTAAGTTTACTTGTTATTTTATTTTTTATGGGTAATATTAATTCAGCCAATTTAGTAATACATATTCCAAACTAAGATTAAAGCAGGACACCCTTAATGGCTAATGTGTATGGGAGAGGTGTCCATGGGTAACTACAGCTTATAAAACAGATGTATGACTTTGATAATGGTTAAATGCAGACCATTTCTTTGGCACGAATCCTCTACTTATCGTTGCCGTTGTCCTGCTCCAACGCCTCCTTGGGATTCTCCTTCACATTGAGATGGGCGGGTCCCACCTGCTGGATCTGAACGATGCGCTCGTTGGCCTTATCCTCGATGGCCGGTGGCTTGGGCACCTTGATGGTTAGGACGCCATCGGAGGACAAGGTGGAGGCCACCTTATCGGCCTCATAGCCGGGGGGCAGAGCATAGCGGCGGACAAAGTGACGAGTGATGAAGCCATGGTCATCTTCGCGCTCCTCATGGTTGCCCTCCACCAGGACAGAGTCGTCCTGCACCTTGACCACCAGTTCGCTGGGCTTGAAGTGCGACACATCCATGCACACCTGGAAGCCATCCTTGCCGATTTTCGACACGGCACCCGACGATCCCGCCGAGGAGCCCACCTGTTTCTCCAGCTGGCGCAGCTGCTGCTCCATCGGTCCCACAAGGGCCAAGTAGGGATTCCTCCTCTGTCGCTGGCAGTAGTAAGGCTCATAGAAGGGCACCATCGACATGCGGCCCAAATCGTCGGCGAGGCTCAACAACAATGGTAGGTTTGCCATTTCTGAATTGCTTCAAGATGATTCTCCTTCAAAGTAATAAACTTCCTTTGCAGATAGCTTACTTTCGCTTAGCTGTTATCGCTTTGGCTTTTTGAATTCAACTGACGCCGGTTGCACGAAAGTGCCGGCTATTTATACAACCACCCGCTGTCGTTGTATGGGTGCGACGGTCGTCGCTGTGTGTGTGGGGCACAAACATCGAGAAGGGGCACGAAACTTCTCGGGCTGAAAATATCACAGAGTTCTCGAATTTGCCGGAATTACGCATTATCTGCCATTGAAAGTGAGAGTATCGCTATGGAAAATGAGCAATCTGCTGGGGGAGTGGGTATGAAAAGGCCTGGTGGAGTGATAAGTCGCATCAGCACAGGCAAATATTATGTGTATATACCAGATAGGAAGGTTGGAGTACATTCCCCGGAGGATGGAGTACTTTCGCGAAACTTCGAGACTGCAGAACAGTTCTTCCCTTCTTTTTATGGCCTGGCATTTAAGCTATTAACTTTAATTAATATCCCAGAAAGGGGGTCTAGATTGGGGGAATCTAATTAAACTACATAAATGGTTAATGGTTTACTAAGTCTGGGCTGTATGTCAATTATTACCCTCATCAGTAAGAATGTAGAGAATGTACAAACATAGAAGGATTTAAAGGATGTGTTTTTGTTCATGAATGTTTTGTAATACAATATATGTATAATGCAGTCTGGTATGCACACATTTTTATACATATGTACAAAAAAAACAGTTAATAGTAAATAAAGTGTGACTCATAGTAATTTAATACATTATATTTTACTTTGTTTTAACCAAATCAAAGAGCAATTAATTTACAATTTCTTGTTACAGTTGCACTCAAAAACCATATATGTAATACTATGAAGGTACTGCTATAGAACTCAATACCTAGATGTTATATCACTCAAGTTTTTATTTATGGCCCCATTTTTTTTGTCGCCACTCCTCCAATGGAGCACTATGTGCCCTGGGCATGCACAATCCGACGCCAACGCAATGGAAGTTGTCTATTCAAAAAGGTGGTCACATAATGTGCGAGTACGCCCGTCCGGCGGATCTGTTCCCCATGGTTAGGTAAATGGGAGCAAGTACCAAGTACATGGGGAGTGTATCATATGTACAAGGGGGCATCTCGAACGCAGCAATCTCTGAAGGTTTTTGCTCTTTTCCGACTGCAGTTGGCATATACACCATACATACAGATATAGGTATACATTCATATATAATATATATACAGAATTGTATCCCGCAGCTGAGTTCGGGGCCCCACAAAAATGTTAGCAAAGTCTCCACTGTCTGGCCCCCGTCTGGATGTTGTTGTTGTTGTTTTGCTTTTTGGAGCTTTTCAACCGGTTGCCATCGAATCGCTTGCACTTGGCTATGTAACCATATACGAATCCAGCATATCATCGTCATCTGTGTGGCAGGGTACATGCATATATGTAAGGCGGTTACCATATGTATGGGTTGCCCCAGACGCTGTCATTGCGCATGTTTACGCGACGCCGGCTTGCCAATCCTCCAGCTCTGGCAACAGCGGATTTGTAGCTTCCAGGCGGCCCAGCCAGCTGTTGTTGTAGTTGTTTATCGCCGGCGACTCTACTCGACTCCGCATCGGTAACCGGCAATCGGCACGAGACTCAGACTCTCAGCTGTTCGCTCAATGCCGGCAATGGGAATTCAGCTGCAACACGACCACTTTACATATACGCCGTCTATATGGATATATGTGTATATATCGCCGGTCCAAGGGAGATGGCATCTCTGCACGGGGGGATTTTTTGTGCATATATCCCTCGATTTCAAGCCGGTTTGCCTCTTTTCTCTCCTGTTTTTTTTTTTTTTTTTGGTTTTGCAACGCTGCAGTTTGGTTTGTCTGGTTTCGCCCTGGAATACGAGTACTTTCTTTGTTCTCTGGCAATCTGTCGTATGGGAAAAGTATCTCTTATTTCGGTTTATATAGCAGAAAACGGCATAGTACATGGCAAGACTGACTGTTTTTATGGGTATCCCTGCCCCTGGGCGAGTTCTCTGGAGGAGTTGCATAGTTTTTCGCCTGGGAGCTGGCCTGGAAGCCGACTGGAAGTGACCAGGTTTTCCATTCAGCGCTGCACAGCCGCTTAAAAGCGTCGACATTCAGCCATAAGGGCTCAAACGCAGTCCAGTTGGAGGCCAGAACGGATCGCCGCCGGTTCCCAGACGAAACTAATCTCCGCAAGACCTAAAAAAAAAGATATAAATATACATAGGAGCACCCAAACCAGATAGGAAAAAAGTGAAAATGTCGCTGATACCGTTCATACTAGATTTGGCCGAGGAGCTGCACGATTTCAATCGCAGCCTGGCAATGGATATAGATGATTCGACCGGATTCGGGTTGTATCCGCTGGAGGCCACCTCACAGTTGCCACAGCTGAGTCGGGGGTTGGGGCGTGGGAATGCGATGATGTGGGTGCCCATCAAGGGTCAGCCGGCGGCGCAGCATCGCCATCATCCGTACAATCGTGTGGCCGGAGCCAAGACTGTTTGCTGCAATAAGTCGCTGGTGGAGCTGGAAAAGGAACTGGGCGATAAGGGCACTTCCGGTGCAAGTGGCAGCGCCAGTGGCCAACCGGCGGTCAGCAAATCCGCCTACTCTGTGGTGAATAGGAACGGCTTCCAGGTGAGCATGAATGTGAAGCAATTCGCCGCCAACGAACTGACTGTGAAGACCATCGATAACTGCATCGTGGTCGAGGGCCAGCACGACGAGAAGGAGGATGGCCACGGGGTGATCTCGCGCCACTTCATCCGCAAGTACATCCTGCCCAAGGGCTATGATCCCAACGAGGTGCACTCGACCCTCTCGTCGGACGGGATACTGACGGTCAAGGCGCCGCCGCCACTTCCAGTCGTCAAAGGTAGCGTGGAACGACAGGAGCGCATCGTGGACATCCAGCAGATATCGCAGCAGCAGAAGGATAAGGATGCGCAGCCGCCAAAGCTGGCAGAGGTAGAACAGCAGGCGGCAGCTAGTGCCACCACTTCCACTTCAAATCCGACTGCACCCACACCCACTTCCACTCCCACTACTTCGCTCACTCTCGCCGAGAGCAACGGCAATGGTCAGGAAGAGACAGAGATGGAAGTGCCGGCTCTTTCGCCCTCCCTTTCCAATGAGGCTGCTGCTGCCGCTGCTGTTGTTGCAGTGGAAACCCCTTCCACTGCAGGAACCACTTCCAGTGCCAACAATGGCGTTGCAGAACCAGAGTCAATGGAAGTGGCGGTTGCCAAAAACGAAGAGACTGCCAAAGTGGATGAACCCACACCCAATCCCGTTATAAGCAGCGAAGAGGAGCAAAAGGCAGAGGATGCAAATGCCAACGAAGTGCCCGTTGCCTCGAATAACGGGAATGGAGCAGTCGCAGCACCCGAGGACGTGGAAATGCCGCTGGCCAAGAAACCGGAAACATCCACGGAAGACAGCAAAGGGGAGCAGGCGGAGAAGGTGGATAAATTAGAGAAAGTGGAGGAGAAGGGCGGCGAGGAACTGGCCGCCGTGGATGCGGCCATACTTCTGGCCAAAAACCAGGGCGAAAACGGAGCCACTGCAGCCAAAACCGAGGAACTGGCCAAGTGAAGACTGAACTAAAAAAAAAACATAAATGATAATTAAGAAGAAATAATAATCTGCACGGTTAGGCGTGCGTTTTATTCCATACATGTTTCTTGTGTTTTCTTTTGCATTTCACACAAATAAAAAGAACCGAGAAAGCTGACGGGAAAAGCACTCAATTACTAAGCGTGGGAGATAGCGGGCGATATATGGATGTATGTATGATTTCCTAAAAACATATGTGACAACAACTACAAGTATTCCAGTAAAACTTAAAGACAGAAACACGAAATAATGTACTTAACAATAAAGAGGAAAACCAGAATAAAGAAACTGACGTGTTGTCTCATTTGCCGTTAGCCGGCTGTTTCTCTTGTGCTCTTTCTAGAAAATGCAACAACTCTCTAGAAACTTCGGCTCGCTCACGCACACGGGCGCACACTGCAAAATTTTCGCTCAAAACAAGAATTACATTTTGAATAATGCCCAAAATTCGCGGCTTTTATTGGCTAAGGTTAGTACATGTTATTAATTTTTTTAAGAACAACATTTAATTTATATTTTATAAAAAATATTTTCAAAATTGTGCCCTAATGAATCAATTGCTACAAAGCAATATACAGTATTTCTCTCTGTGCACGCTCTCTCGCTCTCTTTTCTCTTTTTCTGTCACTTTCTGGACTTTTCTAGAAGAGCTCCAGCAGGTATAAAAGCAGCGCCGCCTGGCGAACACAGCACAGATCGAATTCGAAACTCGAACAGTAAACAAGTCGGAGCCCAAAAGCAAAACTTCAAAAAAGAAAAAAAGGATAAAATACCTTTGCTTGCAAGTTCATTCAACCTAACCAAAGAAAAAAAAAATATTTTTCCACCTCAAAAAAAAACATAAAAAGGAGAAGTAAAAATGTCGCTATCTACACTTCTTTCGCTTGTGGACGAGCTCCAGGAGCCCCGCAGCCCCATCTACGAGCTTGGAATGGGATTGCATCCGCATTCTCGCTTCGTGCTGCCACTTGGCACTCAGCAGCGCCGTTCCATCAACGGATGCCCTTGCGCCTCGCCGATATGTCCATCGTCGCCCGCCGGCCAGGTTTTGGCTCTACGTCGCGAGATGTCCAACCACAACGACATCCACTGGCCGGCAACCGCCCAGGTGGGCAAGGATGGATTCCAGGTGTGCATGGACGTCTCCCAGTTCAAGCCTAGTGAACTCAACGTGAAGGTGGTGGACGACTCCATCTTGGTGGAGGGCAAGCATGACGAACGCCAGGACGACCATGGTCACATTATGCGCCACTTTGTGCGCCGCTACAAGGTTCCCGAGGGCTACAAGGCAGAGCAAGTTGTCTCGCAGCTGTCCTCGGATGGCGTGCTCACCGTCAGCATTCCCAAGCCGCAAGCCATCGAGGACAAGTCCAAGGAGCGCATCATCCAAATCCAGCAAGTGGGACCCGCTCACCTCAACGTTAAGGCGAATGCCAGCGAGGTGAAGGGCAAAGAGAACGGAGCAACCAATGGCAAGGACAAGTAAAGGTGCCACCAAGAAGATCATCTTTATTGTACTCCTAATATCACCCATCATCATTCCCCCACTTAATTGTTCCTAATTTATTGCATTGCACTTGTAATGAACTAAAAGACTAGAATACTCATAATAATTTAATAAATCATTTGTACACCTGGTGTGAAATTTTACAAGTTCTGTGAATTTTGTATTATGATAGTTGCTTTGGATAGAGCTGTCATTCTGCCTTTAAAATAATATTGATTTGGAGATTCGATTTGGACGATAATTTCATTTGTGCGCGAAGGGGTCCGTCTTCGTAAACGCCAGTGTTTACCAAATATTTATTGCGCATTTTATATATTACCTACGGGTACAATTTGTATTTTATTTATGTTTGAATCCAATTTAAATGTTCGGCTGCACTTGCTTGCTGTCCGAAAATAGTTCACCTTGAGTTAGGCGAATTCGATGGGTGGGTTTGGGGTTTGGTAAACACATCCACTGTTTGCCTTCCTGATTTTTGATAGACGGTGCACTGGTGCTCTATTTCCAGGGCAGGGCCAGCTTTCCAGTTTCATGGACGCGGACCAATCTCTCGCCGGGTGTGTAGTACTTGGCTGGCGGCGGTGGTGGAGCCTTGATGGTGAGGATGCCATCGCTGGATATGTCCGAGATCACCTCATTGGCATTGTATCCGCGTGGCAGGAGATACTTCCTCACAAAGTGGCGCTCTACCAGCCCATTGGAGCCCTCGTCGCGACGATTGTGATTTCCCTGGACGATGACATAGTCGTCATTGGTTTTGACCACAATGTCGTGCGGATGAAACTGTCGCACATCGATGTCAATCCGGAATCCCTTCTCATCCACATGGACACGCTCTCCGGAGTAGTAGTTGTCCCACCTCATTGGATGTGCCCATTCATATGGCGTTGACTGGATCAACTGATTGCGCACTCGACGCGAAACCACTTCATCCAGAGGTCGGAGTAAGTCACTCCTGCTGGTGTGAGTAGATGGCCACCAGAGACGCGAATCGTCCCATAAATACGGATATAGTTGAAAATCGTACGGTGTGTGGTACAGCGGACGGGGTCGATCAAATTCACGCGACAAATCGCGATATGTGGTAGGCACCAGAGACATTTCTTGCCGGGATTAGGGCAGCGATTCGCTTACGTTCGAGTCCGAAAATCTTATAAAATTTGCCGCCGCCGCCGTCAGTTCTTTTATAGATGGCCGACTGGCCTCGCCGGATGTGGATTGCGGATGGCGGATGGCTGATGGCGGAGACGATAGATGAGTCATCCGGACGAGGCGCATCGGACGGGATCGAAACGAATCGGATCGGCCAAGTGCAGCGGTGAAGGCGAGGCCAACGAGCTGCACACGACAATATAATGGCCAGTTGGACCCGCGTCAAGTGGCTACGTCACCAGAATCATCGAAGGAAGCGGAAAAAGATAGATGTCCAAGGTGTCAGACGATTGCAAAGAAAATGGAAAGTATTTTTTGGGGCATATAAATTGTATCTCCATCTAATGTATCTTTAGATCATCTATGTTTCAAATATTTATTTTCTTCTGCAAACATAATTAACAATGTAGGGCTTGCGGGCTACCGAATCACAATTGTTTTAAAATTAGCTTGTTAATTTAACAGGAACTTAAATTTGAAAGGTGTTGGAATATCTAAACATAGGGGTTCACTAGCATTTGATCAGGTTTAGTATAATTTCGTCTTATCCCTACTGACTGGCTTTGTTACTGGCCTCCTCGGCGGACTTCTTTGCCGGCTCGCCAGTTTGCTCGATGGTCACCTCTCGCTCCTTGAGTGTCTCCTGCACGGCTGGAGGATTGGGCACACTGATGGTGAGGACGCCGTCGCTGCTCAAAGTCGAAGTCACCTTGTCCGCCTCGTATCCTTCCGGCAGGACGAAACGTCGAAGGAAGTGCCTGGAGCTATAGCCACCTTGTTCAGCTTCCTGCTGCTCCGATTTTCCCTCCACCAGGACAACGCTCTCGTCCAGCACCTTGACCTTCAGCTCGCTGTAGTCCTTGACGTCCAGGGTGAGTTTGTAGCCATCCTTGTTAACGGTGGCCGGCGGGGCGAACTCCTGCTCCTGCCAGCGGGCAATCTGCTGCCAGTTCCTCGGAAGCGCCACACTCCAAACGGGCGGCTCGTGGATGAAGGCTTGGAAGGGCGACGAGAGGCGTGGCATGCGGGCCATCTCCTCGGCCATTCTCCAGAACATCGGTAAGGAACGCATTATATTTGATATGCTTGGTAACTTGATTTGCTAAGTCTTTAGACTGCTTATGGCAATTTGATAAATCTGATGAAATTCCAGCTAATTGTTATCTTTAAAATATTATATATAGTTTCTTGGCTATTTTAAATATTTTTATAATCTTGTCGTCCTAAGCTTGAACTCTTATTTAACTTTGAAATTTTCCTCTTAGCTGGCGAAATTTGAGTTTATTTGACTTTTTTCGAGTTGTTTGCTGTTGGTTTGTTTTTTTTGAACTGAGAGCGCGGTGCCCAACTGGTGGCTATTTATACTCTCGGCAGAGAGGAAATCCATATAATCTAGAAAATGCCGGCACTCTCTCGAATTTTCTTCGCCCTTTGCTGATGCAATTTTCCGCTTTGCCTGAAATCGGACAATGGCATTTAGTTAGGGGTTGTTCACTGTTACTTAGAGAACTTCGTAGAAGTTTCTGGGGCTCTCTGGGTGTCCAAATATTACTTTATTTACCTTTTTATTTAGCACTTAGCGAAGTTCTCTCTCGCTGGCGCCTTGGGGAAGGTCAGTTTTTGAGAGAGCACCAAAAGAGAGTGGGAGACAGAAATTTTTAGAGAGTGCTGAGCTTTTGAGTGCGGGTGCATGTGTATTGTGTATGTGTATTGATAAGCTTTCCATGGGCGTAGTTTAAAACTTTAGATACATTTGAACATAGATATATGAGAAATAAATTGTTATTGTTATTTGATTGTTTCAGCATTATTTCTATTATTTTATTATTTAGAAATACATATGGCCTGGTTACAGTCAAAGTCCTTCCTTTTGAGCCCATTCATTCCAAGAGCCTTTGTAGATCACCACACTAAAATGCACACGTATCCGATATAAAATATTGCAACTATAATGACATTAAAAAACTCACTTGCTGTATCCCTGACTTTTGGCAATTTTCTCTGCCTCCAAAACTCGATTTCCCGACCGGCAAGTGAATATGATTCGCGACTGCTTTTCCGGCTTCGACCTTTTGTATTTGTTTTTGAAAGCGTTGCCATCCAGATTTAGGGCTTTGTCCAGTTCATCCACTAAGTAAATAAAACCACATTGTAATATATGTATGAAATATTAGGGAAAGTAGTGTATTACGGGGTATATTGATGCTGGCTGGAATGAAGCCCGTCTGCTGGAGCTCTTCCCGTCGCCGAACGTCGATAAGATACACATCCGGATGGTTGGGCACATCCTTAACCTGTTCATAGGTGGCCATTGTGTTTATGGAGCGGAGCACGAATTTCCACCGGTTCGCCAGCTGAATAACAACTGACTTGCCAGCTGGGCCCAGAAGATCCATTTATGGCGTTCGAGATTAGAGATTCGCGTAGGTAAATATGTACAAAAGTGCGTACTTGCTTATCGCAAGAGTATTGTGGTGTCGTCTTGTTTGTTCAGCTAACACTGGAGATTCGAATTGCTTCCCCCGCCCGTATTCGATTTCACTTTGAGTTTTAAATTCAATTATTATGGCATGATCTCGAATACAGCGCTTGCTATGTGCACCCACTTTATACCTTATAGCCGCACATCTCCGAAAGCTTGGTCCCCAGAAGGTTCTCAGATGTCTCCCCAGATTCTGCAAAACACCCAAGTAGTTGCTGCTCCAGAAAAGCTCTGTGGCAGTGGGAAAAGCTCTAGCGACTCTATAAAAGGACGCAGCTAAACCGTTAAACTCCACATTCGAGTCGGAAAAGTGAAGGTGAATTGTGCGCCGAACTGCAGTTGAGATTGTGGATTCCACCCCCCGCTGGCAAATCAACCCCTTGGATACTTTTTGAAAGGAAAACAGGTCGTCGGTTCAACGAACTTCCTTCCGCCAGATACACAAAGAAGTAAAGGAAAGAAAAGTAAAATGCCAGATATTCCCTTTGTCTTGAATTTGGACTCTCCGGACTCCATGTACTACGGCCACGATATGTTCCCTAATCGCATGTACAGGCGGTTGCATTCGCGGCAGCATCATGATCTAGATTTGCACACTTTGGGTTTGATTGCTCGAATGGGTGCACATGCCCATCACCTGGTGGCGAATAAGAGGAACGGGGAGCTGGCTGCCTTGGGTCGAGGTGGCACCTCAAATAAGCAGGGCAATTTCGAGGTCCACCTGGATGTGGGACTCTTTCAGCCAGGTGAACTCACCGTCAAACTAGTCAATGATTGCATTGTCGTCGAGGGAAAACACGAGGAGCGGGAGGACGATCATGGGCATGTATCCCGGCATTTCGTTCGCCGCTATCCGCTGCCCAAGGAGTTCGATTCGGATGCCATTGCTTCCACTTTGTCGGAGGATGGAGTTCTCAATATCACTGTTCCGCCATTAGTTTCCAAGGAGGAGCTCAAGGAGCGCATTATACCCATTAAGCACGTGGGTCCATCGGATCTTTTCCAGAATGGAAATGGTCATAAGGAGGCAACTCCTCCAGCTTCTGCTTCGGAGCCGGAAACCAAGTGAAGGACCCCCTATAGATTGCAGCCTCAGCAGCCAAGTGATTTCCCAAGACTCTCGTTTATCGTTGCACTAAAAAAAAGTCAAAAAATATCGCACAAGTCGTATTATATTTAATAATTTATTATTAGCTACATTTTAAACAGTCCAATCAAATTTTAAGACTAATCGAAATCAAGTATTAATAAACGAATATGAATGTCTCAGTAGTCAAACCTCTTTTATTAATAATAAATATATTGAATATATAAATATAAATAAATTAAAAGATTGCCTCTATCAGAAGGTACGAATTCAAATTCTTGGAACAACATCCACTTTCCTTTGTTCAATTATACAGGTATTAAAAGCTGTGCATATTTAAATTAGGTCCCCAGAAGTCAATTCTACTTAAAAGGAGCTTTGGCTAGCCTTTTCCCAGGTCAAATTAAGTGAACTTGTTTAATTTGAAATGAAAGCCCGCCAAGTGACTAGTTATCGATAGACTATCGAAGTAACAGTTTTTAACAAGATAAGTCGACGATAAATTAAATAAAAGAAAGAAACATCTAACTACTTATTACAATAAAAAACACTTATTTTGAAAGTAAATTATTAAAGCGACTACATATAAAATAATTTGGCTTTATAATCTGCCTCATAAGATCCCGTGACATATTGCATGTTGCCCATCTCCAGCTGGCACTGTAACCTCAAAAAAAATGTTTTGTTTACTTTTGCGGCGCTCTGCAGTTCATAATTCCTGCAAATTAATCAGTAAACAAATTGCCCAGCCCGCGTTCTACACACTCCATAATGCCCTGCACACAACAATACGTAAGTGGACCCCATAAGCCTGCAGAATCAGCACTATATTATACCTAAAATCCGCACTGATATTATGAAATTCGGCCGACTTTACAGCGCGGCGGCATGGCGAGTTCGAATGGCAGGATCCTAAGTCGCCAGATGAAATGTAAGTCCATAGAGAGAGCCTAATTGTACACCATGTAACCAGGATATACTCCACAAAACCAGAGTGAACATCACCTATGTGGACAAGGATGGAAAACGCACCAAGGTCCAAGGCAAAGTGGGCGACAATGTTTTGTACTTGGCCCATCGCCATGGGATCGAAATGGAGGGCGCCTGTGAGGCTTCGCTGGCATGCACCACCTGCCACGTGTACGTCCAGCATGATTACCTGCAGAAACTAAAAGAGGCCGAGGAGCAGGAGGACGACCTGCTGGACATGGCGCCATTTCTGCGCGAGAACTCTCGGCTCGGCTGTCAGATACTCCTGGACAAAAGCATGGAGGGCATGGAACTGGAGCTGCCCAAGGCCACCAGGAACTTTTATGTCGATGGGCACAAGCCCAAGCCCCACTAACATTATTGTTATTCTACATTATTAATAATATATAACGACTGTTGAAATACCATTTGGTTGTTTCCCAACTTTGTATATTTCTTAAGATGTAAACAATGCTTCGGTTTTGTGTTGTTCCATCGTGAATTAAACTAAAGAAGAATTCGTTAAGTTGAGCCTATCGAATTACATTTTCTAACTGATGATTGGGTTACATTTGGAAGGAAGGATTTAGAACATGGTTCGCGCGGCAGGGATGAGCGACATAAAAAGAGTGATATGAAACAAACTTGTAAAACTATATTACAATTAAAGCAGAAGTACAAAAATATAAATTTGTATAGCGAAAAACTAAAATGGCGCGGCAGCCAGAGTTTATGGATTATGTATCCTGGCATGCCGCTCCAGCAGCTGGAAGCCATTGTCTCTCAGTTGGACGAGGGCGTGGGGCTGCTGGAGGCGGATCGTGAACGGACACTGGCCCTGTCCTCCTGTTCGCTGCGTTCCTCCTCCCGATCGCGACTTTTCTCGTCCTTGTCAAGATCGGCTGGCTCCGCAGAGGCCTTGGTCTGTTTTTCCGGCCCCGCCGACGCCAGGATTTCCTCCTTGGGCGATAAGTTCTCACGTTTGATGACTTCCTTTTCGGCCTTGCTGATGGCAGCGGTCTTTTTGTTGCTACTCTTCTTAAGGACGGCCAGCTCCTTGAGCACACTGGCGATCTTGCGGTTCAAGTTGTCCACCTTCATGTCGTGCAGGCGCTCCACTTCCTTCAGCCGGTTGCGCATGTCGTTCTCCTTCTCGAAGTTCTTGCCCTTCAGTTCGGTCAGCTGGAAGAAGATATTGTATATTAGAAGCAGTTCCTTTGTGATTTACATTAATTTTAAGATTTATAACAAGGATCCAAGGCTAAACAAAAGAATTCATTCAGCTGCGGTAGACGGGTTTTCAAATATATAAAATGGTATTTCGAGTTTTACTCAGCTTCTTGTGCTTTTTCCCACCCCTTTCGTTTTTAAAAACTTGATAAAACCTCTTTCACGCCTTTCCCTTGTCTGAAACCCACCTGCTTATCTTTTTCGAGCAGCTCTTTGTCTTTTTGATTCAGGCGCTTCTCAAGGCTGGCAATGCGTTCCTTTAGGTATGTAATGGCAACCACATGATCCGACGAGTTGGTGTCTACGGTGATGGCAGCCGGTGCGGCTATGGTCCCATTCCCTCCATTTCCTCGAGAGATCTTGTCAGGCAGATCCAATCCAGCTCCGCTCACGGCATTCACACCGGAATTATTGGCACCACTGCCGCTCTTGCCCAGCTCGCTGCGCGAAGGCTTCTTGGCCGCTGCGCTATCTCTGTGCGAAGACGAGGTCTTCTCGTGTGGCCTCTTCTTGGACATCGGTATTCGGCCCTCCTGCTGGGCCTTGAGTAGCGCTCGCTTGTAGGCGCAGGCACACAGCCAGCAAAGCAATTTGCCATTGACCTGTCGGCGACAAAAGGTAGATCAAAATTTTACGAAAGGTCACAGTAAAAGGCTTATGTTAGGTAGCAGATATCTTAGACTAAACACGGTCTCTTATGAACGCAAATACATTGATTCTCGGGTACAATTCATCCCGCTCAAGTTTCTACAATCTCATGGCTTAATCTTAGGGTTTTTAACATTAGGGGCTGCTTCCGTTGTGAGCATTCCTCCAGTTCTGTGAGCTGACCTTTTTGTTCTCGTCGCGCCTGTCAAAGGCTGATCGCAGCTTGCATTCATCGCACTGCACCGGCGGTCCGTACTTTGCCTCGTAGCTGGCACATCTATATACGAAGACGATAGGGTATATTTTGGTTGGTTTTTTGTTTGGCGGGCAGAAAAGAGAAGAAGAGAAATGTTTTGCGTTCATAAGAGACGGTAGGTTCATTTGCTTGGTGTTCCAAAGATAGATATCGGGAAGAGCAGTATCTGCAAAGTCATGTACTTTGAAGGCACAATTTGGATTTTTGGATTGGTTTGGGTTTCTCTTCACGTTACGCAGAGTAAACAATTATCGAAGCTCTTGCATTGTGCATTCAAGTTACACGGCCGTTTTGATTCGGTGGAAAGAACAACCATGGCATCTATCTACTCGATCGGCTTACGGATTACATAGAAAATACAAAACTCACCGCATGCACTTGGATCCTCCGAAGGCGGCCACAATCTTGCAGCACTCACAGGCACTGGGCTTGCCGTACTTCCCCAGATAATGTTCGCACTTCTTGCAGGCACTCTGTGATTTGCTGTGGAATATATATACACACATAAGTGATACATTTGTGTATATAGTATAGGGCTAGGTATAAGCTATAGCTGCATTATTGTACTTACGTGGCGGGTTGAAACTCCGATCGGCAGTAAGTACATTTACCAACTGAGGTAGAACCGCGGCAGCCCTGAAAATAAAAATCAAGGTTAACCGTCTGTTTGTTTATCAATTGTCGAATATAGGCAAGCGCATTTTGTTTGTTTGTTGTTTAAATCATTGTTGGACGCGACGCTTGGCTGCTTCTTCTTGCTGTTCGCATTTTCCCTTGCTTTTTTGCGCAGCAAAATTTTCTGCCAACGCCGCGTCATTTTTGCTCGCTGACAAACAAGCAAACAAGTACACACACTTTACGTTGATATTGCAATTTGTTTGGCGTCATCTTGGTTTTTTTTTTGGTCTTTTTTTTTTTGCATTGTTTGAAGTGGCGGTGTTTTCTTTCGTTGCTTTTGGATCGCTTTTCACCTTGCATAGTTGCTGGCCGGAGGAGAGCTCCTCGTACGGATGGCGCGAGAAACACTTGGAACAGGCGAATAAAACTTTAGCACTCATTGTGTTTGGCGTTCGGCGGTTTTGTTTTCGTGACGGGTTTTCTGTGTTTTGTGCTGGATCCCTAAAAAAACTTGTTGTTTCTGCTGCTTTAAATAAAATGGTTCTTTTTGCTAGGGATGGCGGGGCAAGCGATAGTCACTGCGATAGGCGGACCATCTATACTACGGTGGCGCTATTGACTATCGATATCGGTGTTGCAATTTAGTAAATATATTTTTGCTTTTTAGGATATTTAATACAATACAACTAAAATGATATAACTTCCAATGAGAGTATTAGGGAATATAAAAAAAAACGAAAACACCACATATCGATATCTTATCTATTATCTATATATATGCTGCAAAATATGGAAAATGGGTTTCACCTAAACTATGGTAATATGTTTTATTTTTAATACAGCATTTTCGCTTCACAGTAACCTCGGCTAAGCTTAAAATAATGCACAGAACAAATTTTAAAACTTATATTTCATCATGCCGATACTATCGATAGGCACCAAAGCAGCCCTGGAAATACAGTTCAAAATTGAAGGACAAGCGCACATAGCAAATCTAATAAAGATGCCCCCAAAGCGCAAACGCCGATAGCTCCGATTCAAACAACAACGAACACTTCAGGCTGTACGAGAAAATTATATGTGCGAGGATATTGAAACTGGATCAAACAAAAAGGACAAAAACCAAATAAAAGCTGAATACTCTAGGCTTATAAAAGGCAAAGTGACGGGCAAAGAGCATTTTATCGAAAATGCCTTCGGAACAGCACACAAATATAAAAGTGGCGGTTCGTGTACGGCCCTACAATGTCCGGGAATTGGAGCAAAAACAGCGGAGTATTATCAAGGTCATGGACCGATCGGCACTACTGTTCGATCCCGACGAGGAGGACGATGAGTTCTTCTTTCAAGGCACCAAACAACCATACCGCGATATCACCAAGCGGATGAACAAAAAGTTGACCATGGAATTCGACAGGGTCTTCGATATAGACAGTTCTAACCAGGATCTGTTCGAGGAGTGCACGGCGCCGCTGGTCGACGCGGTGTTAAATGGGTAAGCAATGGTATATACTCATCTAAAACAACTTTAATCTTTACATACTCATAACACCCACAGATACAACTGCTCGGTATTTGTATATGGAGCCACTGGCGCCGGAAAAACATTCACAATGCTGGGCAGCGAGGCTCATCCGGGTCTGACCTATCTCACCATGCAAGATCTCTTCGATAAGATCCAAGCGCAGAGCGACGTGCGCAAGTTCGATGTGGGGGTATCCTATCTGGAGGTGTACAACGAGCATGTGATGAATCTCTTAACAAAATCGGGACCTTTGAAACTCCGCGAGGACACCAATGGTGTTGTGGTCAGTGGTCTTTGTCTAACGCCCATCTACAGTGCCGAGGAGCTGCTGAGAATGCTGATGTTGGGCAACTCTCATCGCACCCAGCACCCCACAGATGCCAATGCAGAGAGCTCCAGGTCGCATGCCATATTCCAGGTGCATATCAGAATCACGGAGCGCAAGACCGACACTAAAAGGACCGTCAAACTATCCATGATCGATCTGGCGGGCAGTGAGAGGGCGGCCAGCACAAAAGGCATTGGAGTGCGGTTCAAGGAAGGCGCCAGCATCAACAAAAGTCTATTAGCTTTGGGAAATTGCATCAACAAGCTAGCCGACGGCTTAAAGCACATCCCGTACCGCGACTCGAACCTGACACGCATCCTGAAGGACTCGTTGGGCGGCAATTGTCGCACGTTGATGGTGGCCAATGTCTCGATGAGCTCACTGACCTATGAAGACACCTACAACACCCTCAAGTACGCTAGCCGAGCTAAGAAGATACGTACAACTCTGAAACAGAATGTCCTTAAGTCCAAGATGCCCACCGAATTCTATGTGAAGAAGATCGACGAGGTGGTTGCCGAAAACGAGCGACTCAAAGAGCGCAACAAGGCGCTGGAGGCCAAGGCCACTCAGTTGGAGCGCGCCGGCAATAGTGGATTCGATCCGGAGGAGCTTAAGTCGTGGTACAGCAAGATAGACGCTGTATATGCGGCCGCCCGGCAACTTCAGGAGCTTGTCCTTGGGATGCGTAGCAAAATTAAGAACATCAACTACCGGCAGACCCTCAAAAAAGAACTGGAGGAGTTCAGGAAGCTGATGTGTGTCGACCAGCGAGCGTGCCAGGAGGTAAGTTTGATTTTTTCACATTTTTAGTTAAGGTTTTAGTTAAGGTCACCTCAATGAATTTTAAATTTAAACATTTAGATTTATTAAGGCTTTTGCAGCAGAATCAGTCTTGGTCTTGGGCTTAGTCGCCAAGCAGCTCCTTCTGCTTGCTGGCCAGCAGCTTGTCGGCCTCCGAGATGAAACGATCCGCGATGGCAGTGACTTGAGCCTGAGCGGCAAAGGCGTCATCCTTGCCCAGTTCCGGTTGTTTTTTTAGCTTGCGAATTTGCTCGTTCTGAACGCCGCGTATGGCATCGCGGTATTTGACAAACAGAGCCTTGGCATTCTTAGACAGATTTTCCCTGTGCTCCTTGGTGACCTTTGGGATGGGTATGAACAGAGTAGTGCCATCTTGTTGGGGATTTAGGTTCATGCCACTCTTTTCGATGGCTTTGAGGACATCGGGAATCGTTTGCGGGAAGCCAATCATATTGACGATAATGGTCTTGGGATTTTTGCGAGAGATTTGGGCCAGTTCCTGCAGCTCGTGCTCCTGGCCATCGACTTTGATGCGTAGTGTGTCGATGGCACCGCTGGTGGAACGCAGCGACAGGTGCTTCACAAAGTCCTCCTTCATCTGCATCACTGACTTCTGCATCTGGCTATTCAGGCCATCGAAATTGAGTATCTCGCGCAGCTGCTGTTCATTGATTTCCACCTTGCCCGGTTTTCCTTTGCCGCCTTTTTCCTTCTTTTTGTCCTTGCCCTTTGCATAATCGCGCGCCACTTGCAGGTATTTCGTGTTTTGTAGATTATTTTGCAGGATTGAGGGCAATCTCGGTGAGGAGCTTGTCACTTGGGTCTGGCGCACCCCAAAGGTAGCTAAATGCAATGCACTTCGCAGCATTTTATTGCAATTTAATCTATTTTGTTTGGCTTAAATGCGGGACTGATTTTCAATTGGGCAGCATCAGCTGTTTTGTTCAGACTCGTAACAAACCTCAAAACGTAATGTACGTTCACGTAACGTTTAGCTTACGTTGGCGGGTTAATTTGAAAACTATTCAAAAACTCTTAAAACTAATATTTAATTTTACATTTTTTATTGTTATTTAATTGGTTAACCATTTTCTTCTTCATTAATAAATACAATAATTTGTACACACTTTCCAGGACTTCCGGCGCTTTGCGAACTACATGAGCACACTGACCAGCCAGATGGAGAAGTACAAGGAGGAGTTGCCCAGCTGGCTGAGTAAGATGGAGAGTGCCTACCAGGATCTAGAGAGCCTAAAGCGGGAGGTTAACAAATCCAAGGCCTATCAGATACTAATTGTATACGTCAAGTACAAGGATCTCGAGCTGCAGCAGACCAAGCAGAATATCTTCAACAATCACGTGAATGCAATTAACCAGGAGCTGGTTGAGAACTTGGATCTGATGCGAAAGTCCTTCCGAACAGCCTGTGAGGTGCTCAACCAGACGTACGACCGCCTGGAGGATGGGCAAAAGCTGACGCCGGAGATTGAGGCGGTCTTCGAAAGGTTGCTGCGAAAGATGCGGTTCGCCGACTCTGAGGCCAACACCAAAATGACCGAGATGGATCAGCTGGTGGTGCCTCAAGTTCTGCGCAGCGACCAGGAGGAGAAAGATCCCTCTTGCAGCCAGACAGCCAGCGCCAAAAAGCGACAAAAGCAAACGGCCCAGAGCGACGACGATCTGCATTTGAGCATGGAGGACTTTGACAGCCAGGACACCGGATCAGATTCCGAAGAGCTACACAGGACCTTTAAGAGGCCACGAAATCTCAACGAAACGCAGGTCCTGGGTCTCGCAAGCAGTACATCCAGCAGCAGTAGCGCAAGGCAGGCTCTCACGGCGACGGTCACCAAGCCGAGAAACGTCCAAAAGCGACTGGTCAGCGATCTGATATCCGAGCAGAATGTGCGCGGTGGCAATGACAAGATCAAGAAGGGTAGGGTTTTTCTCTTTAAATTATATAAATTATGTAAGAACTATTTTGTCGCAGCAAAATGATTTTTATGTTAACTGGGCATGGCTTATAATCATTATGCATTACGTACCTAATTAATGCTCATAACTTTGATGTTTAATGCAGCTCTACTCAAGTCCAATCACTTTACGGCGCAAGGACTTCAGAGAACGTTGGCTGCTGCTTCTTTGGCCAAGGAAAACGTTAAATACAACGCTAACTATGTGCGCAAGAGTCCACGAGCGCTAATGGCCAAAGGTGAGTTTACCAAATTATTATTATTAAATCAACGATTTTAATTCAATTCATTACTGACAGCCCTTGCTGGCACCTCAACGCTTACGAGAAAACCACTTGGATCGGCCAGTAAGGAGCCGCCCTTGGTCAAATTCAATCGAGCTGCCTCGTTCCGCCTGAAGAAGTAGGAACTTGAATTCTATCAGTTAGTTTCAACTTGTGTTTGCCTTGAAGTAACAACTCTTCCGCCCGGACCGAGACAGATTCATGTTCAAATTAACCATAGCTATAACCATAGGTATAGATAGAACACTAACCCCTCCAAACCTTTAGCTTGTTCGCATTTCAATTTTCAGTTTTGACCCATTACTTAACCTTGAATTTATTTATGTATTTTTCTTATATTTGTTTTAATAATTTGAAAAAAATCCTTGCGTTACGCGCTAACCTAAAAATATACAGCCGTTTCCTTGCCCTCACCCACATTGTGTCTGTCTCGGCGGTAGAAGCTTTGATCGTCAGGCCATAACTGAGAATTGGCTTCCGGGTGCGAGGCTATCCGACTGGTGCTGCCACTGCGATAAGGTGCGAGTCCCAGTAGTCCCAGCAGCATGTAGAGCAGAGCTCCCAAATTGACACCCAAAAGGAGCAGTCCGGGTGCGAGCAGGGGATTCAGAATGGACAGAATGGCTGCTGGAGGTGAGGGAGCAGCCCAGGCAGCCGTATGCACTCCATCGTAGCCGTACTGCACTCGTCGCCAGGGCTTCTTATCGCCAGCATGAGGTCTCTTTTGCTGCTCGACACTTACTACTTCAGCGGGTAAGTCCAAGTCCTGTCGCTTGCCCTCGGCCATCGGAGTATAGCGGGGCACAAATCCCTGCTCCACCGGGATCTTCACCACCGGATCATCGCCACCCACAGATCCACTGCTTGCGCCGGCTAGACAGGCAATAAAGATAAGCGACAGCCACATATCTTCGGTTTGTTTTTCCCGACCGGCTCAGTGCAATCTTATATAGCCACTCATTGTTCGCCAAGGGCAAGAACCGAATCGTGTGACTCTTTCTAGATGTCAACAAGTTGTCAGTTCTCAGTTTTACAATGGTCATATATGTATATTTGTATAGTTAATAGATATAATATGCACATACAAATTTAACTTAAGGTATCAAAACTTGTCTGAATAATTAGCGTATGGTATATTTGATCTCAGTTGTTTATCAAATTATATATGGTACTTAACTTGTCACTCTGTTGATCATATATCGTTATAACAATGATTGCAAATGCTTATCTTAAGGTATCAAAAGGTTATTGTCCGTGAACAGTGCCGAGTGCAATGAGCATACATTTATAGTAAATATTGTGAAGGTAATCGTTTTCCTCTGCGTTCAAGTATGTTTTCGCGGTCTAGTTAAGTCGCTGCGCCTTGAGGAGCACCTGGGGCTGTTCAATCTCCGTCTTGGACTGCACCAGCTTCAGTTCCCGTTCGGCTGCTTTAACTGGGCCGTTTCCGCCGCTGGGCAGAGAAGCTACAGTTCGCTTGATCACCGCCTGCAAACTGGCAATGGTTTTCTCGAACACATTGGCTATATCCTTGCTGCCATGACTGTGAGCCAGGAAGAGGGAGGCGAAGAGATCCCCGGTGCCAGTGAAGACCAAATCCTTGCCACCCTGCTTTGGAATATCGATGGCCAGGCGGGGTCCATTCTGCTGGCTAAGGAAAGCACGCAGAACGCCGGGCTGGCCAAGATCACTGCTGGATATGACTACCGTTTTGATGCCACGCTGGTGGAACCACTCCATTGCCTCCCAGACAGCCGCCTCGCTGCGAACCTCCTTTTCCGTGAGCAGCTCCACTTCGAACTGATTTGGAGTGATTATGTCCGCCAGTGGAATGATCTCGTCCCGATACACGGGCAAGAGCTCTTTGGGCACATAGAGCTCACCGTTGTCACCCATCACCGGATCGCAGACGTACACCAGGCCAGGATTCGCCAGACGCAGCTTCTTCAGAATGTGGCCCACCTGGCGCAGGAACAATGGATTCCCGATGTAGCCGGTCAAGAGGTGTGAGTACAAAGGCAGCAGCTCGTTCTCCTCCAGACCCTCGAAAATGGTGGCTGAAAGTGGTATAAGTAATTTATTGGATATAATACATAATAATATATAATATATGTTGTGTTTGACCTTACCCAACTCCTTTTCGTTGGAGACGGGGCCCTTGAAGGTCTTGTAGCCCGTGTGATTGGAGAACTGGACCGAGTTGAGTGGGTCCACATCGAAGCCCAGCAACTATAAATAGAAATTAAATTATAGAAAGTTAGTGGAAACGGCCGAGAGTTAAAGGTCAAGATGGCACACCTGCAGTGGATAGGTGGCCACTTTGTTGCCCACATAGCCGTGGACCACATGACTCTGGATGGATAGAACCCGCTTGATGTCCGGTTTAGTAGCACCTGCCATTGTCGCTGCTCTTTTCCGTGGAACTTTCCGCGTCGAGTGACCGCCGATCAATGAGCAAATGAAGCTACTGGGTCTACAAGTCACACACGCACACAGAGATAGCTTATAACCGTGTTATCAGCGAGGGAGCGGGAATTCATAGCTTCTCCAGCTGATAACTGATAGCTGATAACTGATGAGTGGAACCCTCCTAGGCGGAGACTACTGGAGTGTACAGTGAGTGGGTAAACGCGTAACGTAGTATAAGAGATTGGGTTACTTTCAGATAAACGAGTCGTATTTGTTCGGGCATGGAACCCAATCAAATTTATTACAACACCCCCTTGTATCACCACCCCCATGGGGCAGTGTTACCAGGTGGCCATCAGATGTGGATAATCATCTGTTCGAGCTATCGACATAGCCAGAAAATGGATCTGGATCCGTCACTTAAAATCGATTTCTTTTCAAATTAAAAACCTGAAAAATGTAAATATTGTACATCAAATATATAAGTAGTATTATATAAATTAATATACTTCGCTTTTAGATTTGTTTCTATTAGTCCTCATTTTTAGGTGTATTTTTTTTTTAAGTTAAAAGGTATTTGAAAGTACTTACTTTTGAATCTCGGAAACATTGTACTTCCATAATAAGGCCATTGCAATCTTGGAGTTAGAAAAGGAAACTTTGGATTGCCGGTAGTCAAATTCAATTGAAACTGACAAATTTTTCAATGAAATCCCAGTAATACATATATGATGATTTAAATGCCATAATGGTAAATTTATTAAAACAGGAATGACAAAGTATATAGATAATATTTTCGACCTTGTCGATCCAATCTTTCTATGAAGTATTCAACTTATCAGTTGTATTTTACGATCACTGATAACGATTTGGTTTGAATTTTATTTTTGGTTGTACATTTGGTTGTCGCCAGATAAAAGTTCAGAGGTTCAGAAGGCAGCGTTACATATGTAGATCGGGAAAACAGGTGTATACATTAAAATACAAATACGGAGTAGTACAAAAACATCTAGGGAAAATTGTGGCTGTGCTTTGTAAGCCATGCCAGAATTGGGATTCACTTCCTTTTAGCTAGTTTGCCACTGAAAACAAAGTGCTGATTAGTCTCTGGGAACTTGGAAAAGGGTATTTTGGAGATTCACCCTTAGATTTGATTGTCCTTGACCCTGACGGGCGGCCTCCTCCTCCCTGCGCTGCAGTTCCTCCGCTCTTTGTTGCTGCCGGCGTACGCTTTCCGGATTCTTAATGCCCCGCTGTTCATTCTCCTGGCGACGCTTTTCCGCCGCATCCAACTGCTGCTGCCGGCGCTCCTCCTGGAAAAACCACAAGGATTTGAAGAAAGTTTAAAAGGTTTGGAAGCTTGGGAAGTTCCTATTAGGAACATTAAAATTTACAGGCGATGGCATCAGGTTGGTTTCCTCGGCGCTTTGGCCACAGCAGGATAGACAGGCACCCATGATGTTAAACTGCACTTGATCTTATTGTTTAGCTATATTGTGGCTGAGTTTATAGTTGCTCTTAGATTTCCTAATGATAGGGCTTCCTTTTGGAATTTTGCTTAGTTTTTGCACTCCCTTTACTCTTTGTTTTGCTGTCACAGCTGATTGATTAACAGCGTGCTGTAGTGCTACATTTCTGAGCTGTTGTGCGCAACAGCTGGTGGCAAAGAATAAGAAGAAGCAGCAGCGGAGAACGCTTAGTTCTTTCAAAATTGAACCAATAAATTAATATCGTAGCCCGTTCGAATTGTTCGCATCTTGGATTCGGAACAGCGGCCAATAATCTTGGGAGATCCCATTTAATCATATACAGCTGCGGGTTCAGTGTGTTTTGTCATTATCGTTGGTTTCCATTTCTGTGTGTGTGTGTGAGTGTGTGCGTGTGCAGCAAAACAACTAAATTAGTGACGCTTAATTGCTAAATTACTCAAGTGTTAAATTTACTTCACATACAACTAAATAACTTCAAAATGCTGGATGTTCCACATGAAGCTAAGGTAAGTTTTAAAGTTTACAGTTGAAAGGTAATGGTGGAATCTGAGGTTCCCGTTACATTTCGCTCCCTCTCATTCCAAGCCGCTCTGGCTGAGCTTGTATGTGAGTGCAGCTTGCACATTCCAACGCATTTTGCCGGTTCCAGCTGGACTCTATTTATGGGCCAATTTCCTTAGTTCAAATTGCCCTCTTGACTGGTTTTTGCCTATAGTTTTCTCTGCTTTATGTATTGGCAATTGCTTAGCGCGTAACCTTCAAGTGACCTCAAACGTATGAGCTTGTGTCGTCTTCGCTGCGCCATGGGTTAACAAGTGTGTGTGAGTGTCGTTTTGGGGAAACCAACAAAAAAGAATTAGCTTGGTATTTGTTGTCAGTTGGAATAATCGTGGAATATATCTGCTTAGTTCTTATCACTGGAACATGACGCGGGAAGTGTTGTAGCGGAATCAGGGGAAATAATTGTTTTTGCTGTACTGTACTGATAAGCGTCTGCAACTTTTTGTTCACCCCACATTAATTATCTCACCACCCCTACCACACCCACCACCTTGCTTTCGAACGCCGGCTTGGTACTGCTACTTGTTTCTTATGTTTAATTTTTGTTTTGCTCAACATTAACGCATACATGTTCTCATCTATCAGCAGTTGCTTGTTATTTCCTACACATGTGTAACATTTTTTTTTTGTTGCTATCACTTGTTGCTAGCATCACTCTTGTCGCCGCGTTTTTCAGTGCCGTTCTGCCACTGCCGACGTCAACGTCGTCGCCGCTGCCGCCGTCGTCGGCGCGAGTTGGAAAAATTTCGTATTGAAATTCAAATTTCGTTTGGATCCCAGCTTTATTTTCAATTGCACACTCGACCGGAGAGCTTCGTTTTTGCGCCAATCTCCTCTCTCATTCTTACGTTCCAAACGCGAGTGCATAGGCAAACACTTGAGAAAAGTTGAGTTTCTCGTAGTGAGATATTATTATATAGTGCTCCATAGTTCACAATGCCCTCCGGTATAAGACCCATCGATGTTTTGCTGGAGCGTGCCGGTGTAAGTTCTCTAGATGATTCTACTCTACCCACAATGACTGTGTAATTTTATATTTGGGCCAAGATCAAATAGTTAAATCTATGTGTCTTTTAACTGCCTAGAGGACTATTATAAACGAGCTTTGCTTGAAAAACGCCATATATCAGAAATTACTGCATACAAATTTCATTAATGCGGAAATTGACTTAGCTTTATTAACGAAATGTCAATAAAAAAAACCCAGCAATACATATGGGAAATATACCTCATAAATATGTTCTTATCATTACAAATTAAATTTCCGCGTAAATTCAAAAGGTTATCAGTTATTTCGACCTACAATTGCTTACTTCTTTTCTCTATCACTAAACTTTTATACTTTTCGCCACCAAATATTAAAAGTAAAATGCTTTTTCTTAACCTATTTGATTTTAAGTTCAACAACATGTTGGCGTTCTTATCTTATCTGCAATATATTATCAATACAGGAAAAAGTCTTTTAATGCACTTTAATTACTAGTTACTAATTATTATTGAATTCTAAGGAATTGCATATTTTTTGGTTTCAACTTGAACTCTTCCCCAATCGATATAAAATGTTCACTATAACAAATACATATAACACCCAAGACATTTTCGTGTAACACAATCTGCCTATGTATTCTATAAAAAGTACCGGATATTAGCGCGTGCGGTCTTTAAGATCTCTACATACATTTGTGTGTTGAGAGTTCATATTGAAGCCTTTTACCAAAAACAAAAAAAAAAAGGCGTCACAAGTAGAAGCCTCAATGAAGCGTTAGCCAATTACAATTATCTCGAGCATGTTGACCTTGCCGAAGTTCAAACACCTGCCCTCTGACTTTGGCTTATCGTTGGGGCTCGGAATGGCTCATTGGCGGAAAGTGCGGTTGCTTTATAAATAACCCACATGCAATCGTCTGGCATCGACGTAGGCGCCGTGGGCGTGGCACATGTGTTTTTTCACTCTACCCTCTGCTTATAATTCCGCCTTTGCGTAATGATTTCGAAAAGTAAACAGCAAAATAAAAGCGATTACAGCAATTATTTTGCATAAGTCAGTTGGTTGCATTGTCTGCTTTGATTGACAAGGCTTAAACCGATCCGAACGCTAGGTGGCGCCACTCTTCACCTGTTCTTTGGAGTTTGTCTTTGCTCTTCCTAATGTTTTTCTTTGGTTTTTGGCTTTGTTTACGCCGCGTACATATATTGGGTTTTGCCATCTGCAATATCTAATGACAACCTTGCCAGACTGTCAATGTCAAATCTATAGATAAATTGCAAATATTTGCCCAACAACAATTGTTGTTTTTATGATTTAATATTTCCTAAATCATTATTATCAGGCTATTAATCGATAAGGCATTGCCTTGTTACGAAAGGTCCAGGAACAGCGATTGATAAGAAATCGCCCAAGTAGCTTGAACTACATATATTTCACCAAGCATTTATCGGTTGAGGTGCTCAAAATTATGTTAATGGTGAAATCTAATTTTGATTAATAGGCCATATTGATATGACGTAGAAATAACGACTCTAGGAACGCTCAGATTACGCGATTAGATCACAAAATCGTAAAAGATGGGGTTTTATAATTTTGTGAGATTAGTTATCAGCCGGTAGCGATTGTAGAGACGGTTGACAAACTAGCGATTTTGTTAATTATTACACAACATTGCGCGGCAGTTGCATTTTTTTTAGAGGTCGTTTCATGGGACATTAGACTGGGACTTAAATCCCGATTGCCTAGGGCTTATCTCTGTAATCATCCTTGACGAAATCGGAATGTCGAACTCATCATTAAACGGTTAAATGGTCAGGGTTTGTTGGGTCCACAGATAATTAGTGAACATTGTTTACTGCGTTATATCTTTTAGAAATAACTTGTAATATACATTTTTGCCAACCATCAATTATCTGTAACTGTGTTTAAAAAAAAAAAATGCCTGTACTTTATTACCACGTATGAGACCCCTTTATTATGAGACCGTTGTTAGCATATGATAAGAATCATAATTTTAGACAAATTTTCCGTGCATTTAAGAATACGTATACCATATGTTAATTACGTTTCTTAATTATTATTATGTTTTGTAGTGCTTCTAAAAATAGCTTCCAGTTGTTGCATTCTTGGGGCACTCCTCATGGTATTTGACTTCACAGCTAGCACTATGGTTCCTAAAATCCTCAAGACTGGGCAAGTGCTTAAATAAGATTTTCTTGTTAAAGTAGCTATCGTTTTCCTCGGGCTCTTCAGGTTCTCCAGCCAGGCGTTTTTTTAGTGAATCCTGCATTCCCCAAATGATGGGTTGACCTTTGCACATCAGAAGCTTCAGGCAACCAACGGTTTTACCTTCCTCCGGTTGTTCTTTGGCCTCGATCATTTCTAATATGTACTCGGGCAAATCCCGATCCATGATATCCTTGATTAGTCGCTTGCTGTACGGATCTGTACGTTGCATAAACCAATCGATGGGCGAGCCCATGGAAAGGGAACGTGGTCGATGGTCGCTGGGTTCATACAGGGATTCCGCAGCATCGATTGAAGATGTTCCTCCTCCTCGAGTGACCTGCAACAGGGAGCTTCCAATCTGAAAGAAATATTAAGAGGTTCAAGTTAGAACAAGTGATGAATGGAATGAACTTACCGCCTGAGCAACCATAATTAACGCATTTAGGGCGAGTGCTCCGATCTTACGTGTATCAAAACCCACCATCCTTAACATATTGGCAAACATTTGCCCGGAGTCGAAGGTTATTGGAGTAGGTTTACGGTTGCTGTTCTCCACTGGAGGCTCTTCCTGGGCATTTTCCGTTTCCGATTGCTGCTCCGATTGATCTTCCTCCTGTTCCTCCTCACCGTTGTTTTGCCGCGGTCCTTGGAATCCACTCTGAACGTAGCTTATCAAGTTGGGCACTTTTGTCATAGAATTGCCGGAGAATGCCTTGGCCACCAGATTTGCCACATCTGCGGCAGTATTGATGCCAAACATCTGGCCGGCCATTTTCAAACCATCACCAAAGTTGTCCATTACACCCGAGGAGACCTCCTGGCCACCCAAATAGAGTAGCAAACTTAATAGCAGCCAGCGACTTGTCATCACTAGGTTTGAGGGAAAACTGTCGCCGATCCAGAGCCTCCTTGGTCTTTGGGTCTTTGGCAACGCCCTCGTCTGAGTGGCAACCCAAGCTTGTAATTGGACTTACGCCAGCGCCAGCAATAGCAATAATTTTGTCAGCGTTTCCTCCACTAATTTTGTCACTTGAGTGCATCTGCCAGATGCGCTTTGCTAGCCACACTAATCGATGCGGCTGAAGTTTCGCCAAGTGTAACTTATGGTTTGGTTTTGTCGTTGATTGTTGTACAGGTGCGCGGCCACCAGCGAGCACCCTCCGACTCAAAGGAGTTCCACGAGGTGACCAAACGGGATGCTCTGCGTCTGCTGGAGCACGATGTGGACCGTCTGCTGGAGACCACTGAGCAGGCCCGCCAGCCTGCCCTCAAGGCAGAAATGGATCGATTCGCCGATCTGTTTGGACGCTTCATTCAGGAAGGTGAGTCTCCTTAAAATATGCACTTACTTTTTGTTTT